AGCAATCTCGATTTATATCAAGGTTTTCACAACGTTGAATTAGATAAAAACAGTCGAAAGTATACAGGTTCCTGTTCACGTCGATATCAATTAACAAGAATGCCTATGGGCTTAAAAACTAGTCCATCTTCATTCTCGCAAATGATGACAGTGGCTATGGCAGGTCTCACAAACGACTCGCTCGACAGCCTGATTGCGGCTATCGTGCGGAGCGAGAGTGCGTGGAACTCTGCCGTCTCCTTCTGCGAGCAAGTTAGGCTCGCGAAGGAGACGGCGGAGCGGGACCGGGAGAGGCTTAGAACTCTCCCGGCCCGCCAGGCCCGGCAACGGGCTAGGTACCGCAGGCGACTCAGGCGCCGGAGGTCGCAGAACGACCTCCGTCCTCCATAAGCGCAAGCCTGGGGGTGACACGTGAGGCCATCTGTCACCCTAGCAGAAGCAGGCCAGGGTGGCGGCGAGCGCGTTGCGAAGCGCGCTCGCTTCCAGGGAGCAGAGGGAACACGGGGGAACTCCCACACGGGGGGGTCGTCTACTCGTCTGTAGTTGGCCCGAGGTATGTCGGGGCACCAGGGACTTCCTTTCTAGGGTATACCTGATTCCCCTGCTATTAGTACCCGAGACGGCGTGCGGTTTTAGTCGGTTCGAGTCCGACATGCCACCGATAGGTGGTATCCGAGAGGATTTCGGCACGAAAAAAAAAAAAGATCTCATAAACGAAAAATGCCTCGTCTATAAAGACGCTATAATAGTCTATGGTCGAAATTTATTAGAAAAATCAAAAAAATTACAAGACGTTTTTGAGGCATGTTAATTTTGTCATTAAACTTAATCCGGCAAAGTGTGACTTGTTTAAAAGGAAATGCTTTATTTAGAACATGTGGTATCCCGTAAGGGTTTTTTACCGGCTCCAGGGAAAAAAGATTTTGTAAAAAATTACCCCATTCCAAAGTCTGTTGACGTGGTCAAGCGTTTTACAGCGTTTGTTAATTTTTACAGAAGAATTGTACCAAATTTTGCGTCAAAGGCGTTTCCATTGAATAAATTATGTAGGAAAAATGTGCCTCTTGTTTGGGATCGGGAGTGCCAAAATTCATTTGATACCTTTAAACAGTGTATAATGTCTCCACCAGTGTTCCAATACCCAGACTTTTCGGTAACTAATAAATTTATATTGCATACAGACGAATCTGGTTACGCAATCACCGCGGTTTTAAGTAATAATAATAATCAGCAATATTTAAACTTCTAAGCAGAAGTTTAAATATTGCTGAACAGCAATACCCCACTATTGGGAAGGAGTTATTGGTCGTAAAACATTTCCGTCCTTACCTTTATGGTCGTAAATTCAAAATTATTATAGACCATCGTCCATTAGTGTACCTATTTAATATGCGAGATCCTTCTAGCCTAATATTAGAAGAATTTGACTTTTTAATAGAGTATGCAAAGGGTTCGGACAACGCAGCTGCAGATGCATTATCTCAGATTTCTTTGACGTCAGAAAAATCAAAACATATGGGTGAATACCATATAAATGTAACAACTAGAGCACATGCACGAAAATTACAAAATATGTACTATAATACAGTCTACTTGTGATGTGGTCATTTGGTCTGATCAGCCAAATGTTATTGGAAATCATACAAAAGAGATGCTGTAGAACTTAGGTTTATAGAGAAAAACGAATTAGACAATTTAAGAAGACAAAATATGCTATCTGTGGCAAAAAAAACGCGTTTTGTTAAGTGGAGAGCGGTCAGTTAAGAGTCGAACTCGTGCGCCGAGGGTTCCGTACCTACCCAGATTGTTAGCGCCAACTGGCGGTGGCCATAGAATCTATTGGCGCCAATACATATGAGCGGGTGCGCAGATATCTTCAGCGACTAAGCGCTGCCTGAAACTGATATGCTGAGTACGTTACGGCTGCCGGACAGGTGGGTAAAAGGATATGGGAAAGCACGCCTACCTTGATGGTCTTGAGATGCTGGTCGAGCTGCTGTCCAGACCTGGCGGGCTGATCAGGCGGCCTGGTCTCTCGTGGCTTCGGTGTGGCTTGTGAAAACAAAATGGCGGCGCGCTGCGCGGTATAAAGTCACTAGCTTGCCGGCAAGGCACGATTTAACACTCAGCGGACAATGCGGTAGCGTGATCCGAAGACACTTGAACGCGGCGCGTGTTATTCCAATATTTTTGGTTTTTAAAGTTTATATGAGATGCGGTAGCGGAAAGAAAAATAACCCTGTTTTACAACTAATTGATAATTTACCTTTTTAAAAATAAGCTTTTATTTGAAGAATGAAATAAACTTTTCCTTTAAAACTTTTAGTATCAACTTATAAGGTCATTACACAATTATTATGATATAAAAGCTCGATCGCGAGATTTAAGTACTCGTATTTACATAGATTGAAAATTTTAAAAATTAAAAACAATCAGATCAAGTTATTTAATGTACTTTTTTATGTACACAGGGTAAATCTCGCGACAAACTTTATATCATAGAAATTGTGTAATGACGTTATAAGTTGTTAGTAAAAGTTTCTATAAATCTCCACAAAAATAAGAACCCACACAACATGGTGTCAGGAGTGAAATAAATTTTTGGGACAAATCCAACCGGGAAAAATAAAAACCGCAAGTCAAACATTTCTACTAGTCATCGAATCATCGTCTCGTGTCATAAAATGGCGGACCACAAAGGCTTGATCGTACAACTGAACCCATTAATTACTCAAGACGGAGAAAATGCAGCAGATAAGTGGAAGAAATGGAAACAACGCAAAAAATGTATGGATGCAAATAAAATAATGAAATTTCCGGATTCGAAGCAAACAACAAATTTCATGAATGCGATCGGTGACGATGGCATAGAGATATTTAAAAGATTTAATTTAAACAGAACTACAACAAAATTAAATTACATAATCAAAAAGTTTGACGAAAAATTAGGCCCCATATCTACATCACAGTGGAACGTTACAATTTTTTTACAAGATTTCAGAAAAATGTTGAGTCTATGGATGAATTTTGTCAACTTCAAATAATTTAGCTGCGACATGTGAATTTCAAAATTTAAAGGAGTCCCTAATTAAAGACACGCCATTGGTATAAAAAATACACACATAAAGGAGCGATTGTTACAAGAAGAAAATTAACTACAGAAACTGTCATGAAAATATTAAAAAGTCTGGAGCTGTCTCAGCAAAGATCAAGCACATGTTTAAGCACATGCTCAAGTGACTTATCTGCTTTGCTCTAACGCACTGTTGTGACCATAATTGTTAAAAAAATCTGTTAATATTATTATTTGTTTTGTTTACGTTTGTTATCTGTTTTGTTTATGTTTGTAACTTGATTTCCTGCTTTTAAAACTCCGATTAATTGAGAATTACTTCAGACTATTATTAGATATATATATTGGATATTATTTTAGTAATTTGCCACTTTAATAGACTAAATTTCGAACATAATTCCTAAAAGTGTCTATTCATTGATACCGTATTCCCTAGTAGTCCGGCGTTGTTCCCAAAAGCGTGATATGTATTTTACTTTTTTGCCGCTTTAGTATTTAAAATATTAACGTAATCGTTCGAAAATAGATTCACATGTATTACATAATTAGTTACAATTCTGAATTTAATAAATTTAATTTTATTATTACTTGTTTGCAGCCTAATAATTCACGCAAAAATATATAAAATGTTTATAGGCTCAGTATGTTTGTTTCATTCAACATTCGGTTTGCAGCCAACTTCATTGACGCATTACGTGGCGCGTGCTATTAATAGGTAAATAATAAAAAAATAACCAAACCTACTGAGTAGGGTATCAAAATCAAGGAAATTAAAAGGGGATTGCAAATATATATAGGTATTGTTATAAGTTTAAATTTAATAAGGAATAATAAATAGGTTTAATAAGTTTTTGATAGCACAAAAATGAGTTAAGTCTGTGTTCGTGTTGGTCGGACCTCGTGTTGTTTCGGTCTTTTTAGTGCATTACTTTTCAATAGGGAATATGCATGTATTTTTTTTATTTTTTTAAACGATTCTACTCGTTATTACATTACCAAAAATAAATATAACACATCCGAAATATAAACCGTTAAGCAAAAAAAAAATTATTAATATCACTATCATTTTGGGGCAATTTGAACACGTCCATTTTGGCGCGCTTTTTTGTGACGTCAGACTACACTTTCAGACGAATTCGATGTCAACAACAGAGTGAAGTTCACAAAGTTTGTGAAAGTTAAAAAAGTGAGTGACATAAATTAACTTATTACCATGGAAAAGCCAATAAAAACTTATTATAAATATTGTGCCGTTCCTTTGTGCCAAAATAATATCAAAACTGCACCTGACAAAGTATATTCAGTCATTGTGTTGAGTCTTTCCACACGGTAATTTAATAATTTAACACTGAAAACGTATTAGTTATTAACTTAAAATGAAACAAATAATCACCAGAAACCAAATATTACAAATACACACAACTTGTTGACACTCTTGACAGTGTAGGTTGACGTCACGTTTTATTCAACCAATAGCGTTGCGTTTTAGAAATTTGCGAGGGAATCTTAAAAAAGCCAATTTTTGATGATTAAATTTCACTATTAAATTATAATAAATTTCAAAAATAATTGTATGGGTATCTTCTTTTAGCAATAACAATTACAAATAAAAATATTTTGTCCATTTTGGTGTCACGTGCATATTCCCTATTGTCTTTTGTTTTTTTTTTTTATGTGGACTTGTTCCTTTCAGAATGACGGGAAAGTGTTTTTCTTTTATGACCTACATTTATTGACATCAAAACCAGCCGGATATAAAGATCTTTCTTAAATTTTATAAATACAAGATATAAAAATACTATCCTACCTATTATACATTATTATTGTTAGATATTATATGTTTGAACAAATATATACGCAACGTTGTAAGCGTATCTATATATATTTATGGTCTTCACTGTACTACACGCTTTGAACCGCCAATCTGATGTCGGGTCTGTTCTCTGAATGCAGGGAGAGCGCGACGGCGCGGCCGTCGGCTCCGGACTCCGGCGGCGGTTTCCTTCCGGAGGAGGAATTCCAGGAGCCGCCGCGCACGCGCTCGCGACTAGCGCCGGTCGTCGATCCCTCCGAGCGGCCGGTCTGCACGGAGTGTTCGCGACCTTTCGCGCAGTCCTACCTGTTCGACTCGTTCGACTTCCGCGTGTGCGACGAGTGCCGCGACGATGCAGACGAACACGCGCTCGTCACTCGCACCGAAGCCAAGAGCCTGTACCTGCTGAAGGACTGCGACCTGGACCTGCGGCCCCCGCCGCTGCGCTTCGTGCGGCGCCGCAACCCGCACGGCTCGCGCCTGGGCGACATGCGCCTGTACCTGCGGCCGCAGGTGGAGGAGCGCGCGCTCGCCGTGTGGGGCTCGGAGGAGGCGCTGGAGCAGGAGCGCGAGCGGCGCGACGACAAGCGCGCTCGTGCGAAACAAACGCAGACGAAGAAGCGGCTGCGCGCGCTGCGCATGGACGTGCGCTCCAGCCTCTTCGACCGCACGCACGCCACGCACGTGCACGAGTTCGGCGACGAGCAGTACGCCGCCGACACCGACCTGTACTCGCGCACCTGCGTCCACTGCGGACACGTAGAGTCTTACGAAAAGATGTAGCAGTGTCATCGGTGCAGGAAGTTACTTTCGAAGAGTTGCATGAATAAACAATATTATTATTTTACGTGCAGTTTAATTATTTGTCCCCGGGTCCGTTTATTCGAACGGTGTCATCTGCCTATCCTATATATTGGATCTCCCAGAGTTGAGCCTAGTGTAGTAATTCCTTGGTTGACTAGGACTCGGTTTGTGGAAAATAATATTTACAATTTGGTGCCGGATTAACAATACAGTGTCACTACATACCCCTATTCATCCTGTGGGTGTCGTAAGAGCCGACTAAGGGAACAAACTCTGCAGGACAACAGTAGCGATGGATTAATTAGTCTTCACACTAACATTTTATTGTGAATTCTTAATTAGTAAATTAATTGTAGTCGTGAATTTTCATAAACGTATTAATTAATAAGGTATACGAAAGGGTGTCGCGATTGATGCTATTTTTGAGGGTGCAAATGATTTTATTGTCTAGTTTAAAAGAAATGCACGCATTTAGGATTATTTATTGCATAAATATATTTTTAATATCATTCATTAAATTTTTAATTCACGAATATTTTTTGTTTATTACGATTCGAGTTAGCATTAGCAAGTGGCCGGGAGATTAGATATAGTTTTAAATGCCTGTTTTCTTGTAGTGCTTTGTTAAATTGTTTATAGAATTGGTACCTATAATAGTATTTGTTAATAAGAAGTTTAATTGTAGAGTAGGTATAGGTAATTTAAGTTTTGAGAATAGTTGGGATATTTTTTGTAAATAGTGTTAAGCGAAGAAAAGGCTAGCGAATCGCGAACAAACTCTGTACTTATTTTTTTTTTATTCTACTACATTCACACAACGCCATCTAGTCCCAAACTAAGCAGAGCTTGTACTATGGGATATAATACGAGTACATATATACTTTTTTTTTGTAAATACCTACAAATTATAAAGAGAAACACCCAGACCAAATCAAACATTAAATGTTCATGCACACAAATGTTTGACTTGAGCGGGAATCGAACCCGCGACCTTTGGAATAGTCCGTAGTCCGATACACAAACCACACGCCATCCTGCATGGTTTCTGTAATAATGTTGGAAAAAATAAAATAGTAGTCACTTTTAATCAGTGAGTTATCATCATCAACAGCCTTTAATAGTCCACTGCTGGACATAGACCTCTCCTTAGAAAGGAGGTTTTGGCCTACTATACCACGCTTCTCTTGGCAGTGTTGTGGCCTGGTGATGGGCATTAATGCTAATCAGATTAAATTAAATTAATTGCGCGTATATGTTGATGATGATGAGCATCAAAAGCACACTGTATGCGTTGATATGCAATACTAATATATTCTATGATCTACGTTATGTGCTATAAAGCATTGGACCACCACATCATGTAATTATAACTGGCTACAGGCACCGGTAAACAGTAAATGCAGACGGGGCAGTCTATACAAACGTACTTAGTTTTCTGATATTAAACATTAAAAACTTTTCATGTTATGCATAATATTGAGAAAACAATAAAATAAATATTTTATTTAGGGCAACCCTAATACTAGTTTTGTAGTTGTCAACTTGTCATCCTTGATTAACGTCCTTCCTTTGAGAGAACGTGTGTAAAGAGAAAATGTATTTTGTATATGTATATATATTATTAGCTGTATGTATATTTTACTAGTTTAAGTTTTATCATGCCTGTAAAAGATAACAATTTATTCATTCTTATTCTTTTATTCTCAAAATTTTTTTTTGGCTCTACCACAGCTCTACAAAAAATCCTTTGACAGTTTGTCTTTCAAATACATGACATTGGCGAAATTGTGGTTACACTCTACCACAAAGCCATTAACCAAAAGTTGAAAGAGAAAATGTAGTATTGTGCTATTAAGGAAAATAACTGAAAAAAACATTTCTGTGAGAAGAGCAGAGAATCAATCAAACAAACAATTATTGAATTACCTACAAGTATTTAATTTCCACTACAACAAGTGTGCAACGCATCATCTTCATGCCCTTTTCCCTAATTTATTTGGCGTTGGCTCAATGAGTTTTCTTCCATACTCTATCACTCGTCGGTTCATTGCTTACACCCCTTCCTATCCGTATCTTATCTCGTCCATCCTTCTTTTCTTTGTCGTCCTCTAGTCATATCCATCAACTTCTATACACAACAATTTCTTCACTACCTACATTTTGCTCATGTCTACATATCACATGTCTATACGGTTTCTTCGCGTATGGTCAAAGTGGTAATATGTCAAATGACTTAAAAACAGTCAATATAGCGAACTATCAAATTAGCTATTAATCCATATCGCGAATGGTCAATTAAATAATTCCCTCGCGAACGATCAAGATCGCAATTGGTCGAAAATTTTACTTTATGTAGTAGTTGAACCAATTCCACTAGCTTATAGAAAATGAAACAGTAGGTTACATTGCGACCAACAACACACGAGCCTAGTGAGCGAAGCGTTCGTGCAGCTGCAGGGTCCGGCCAATGCCAAAACCGAATATCATTTGCTTGAAGTTCATTTTCTGTTGACTATTCGCTGCTTTGATGGTTTGATCATACTCGATGAAACGGTCTATACCAGGATAACCTAATTGCTTGTCAGCCTTTCATCCACTGGCGCTACTTTCGAGCTTCCTCTACTGTACGCATTCCTCACCTTGTCCGTCCTCGCCACGCGCGCATACGCCACACTTACACCTTAACAATTGCATGTTAGCCGCCTGCAGACGTCCCTCATGCATTTTCTTTGTTAACATTTTATTTTATCTACTCTTTTATTAAACCTTTTTCCTTCCATTTCAAACTGATTACATTCCCAAGGAGGGTTGGCGCCAAGCAGGCGGCCAAAACAGGCACAAAACTTTTCTCATTTGACCCATTTCTACCGTTATGCCACGGTTTGTAGTAGTACCATATGCAAGAACATGTAAGCCAAAATATACATTTGTAAATAAGACAGATCCGTAACCAAAATATGTGTTGGTAAACGATAAGTCGCATTACACTTACGTTACGTTATTCTAAGTTAAGTGAATAAAACACGTTTAAGGTATATAAATACTTAATATTTCGTAACTTAGAATACTTTAATACGTTCACTATTGTAACGCTGAGCTACTACTCGCAACATCGTACCAAGCATCGGCTTGGTGAAGACTTGATGTTCATCGCCAAGTCGCCGAGCGGGTGGATACAATAATGGCGGAGTGTAGCTCGTGCAGCGCTGGAACCGGGCAGGGGACATACATACGACACGTGAGACAGCTCCGGCGAGGGCCGATAAGCTCACAACACAGGTCTTAATGAACATTGTATTCAAGTGCTCAGTCATCATTCAACTTACGTAAAAAACATATCATAAATGTAGTGAAATAAACAAAATGCCGTTTCCATGAGAAGATATTTTTACAATTCTTAAGAGTTAAATAAACGTTATTCTAGAGCAGCGCTGCTTTGTTAGACCGATTTCAAGTCTTCTGGTAGGTCATTTTTGGGATGCTTATTTTCGAAATGCTGTTTGTAGGTTTTTGGATCGGGCATCTGGGCCTGAAAGTAAACGATAATGTTGTTAATGTTACATGACTAGAATATAGATACAGTCTGTCCGAGTGTCTCGACCGTGTCTGCTTTAACTGGGGCAGATTCAATACTAGTCCAAATCATATTTATGTTCAATACATGTAAATACTCCATGGCGATAGTTTCCAAACAAACACACATTCTAGTGCGCGCTTATCCATAACTAAATTAGCGCCTTGTACTGTGACCGTATTACTTTATTGGTGTATTGGTTGCGTGTTTGATTTCCAAAATTCACCTACTGTAACAACCTTTTTAATGGTACCTCATTAAAAAGGTGTGTTAAGTGGCTACCGCCGTCCATAGACACCTGCAACTCTAAAGTCACAAGTGTATCCCCGCCGTACCGGGATAATTCATTCAAATATCATTCCCCAACTAGTTGGATGACGATGACTGACTAGTTAGATTGCTGCAGATGTTAAAAGCGGATACACAATTGTAAGATTTTTATTGCACACCTCCACCGCGAAATCGTAGGAGGAAACCGCCCCACCACTGCGATGGTCGGACCGTGGACACGGCTCTCCACACGCTGGCAGAATGCCCGGCGTGGGTGGAGCAGACGGCGTGCGGTTTTAGTCGGTTCGAGTCCGACATTGCCACCGGTAAGTGGTATCCGAGGGGAATGCCGCAGAAAAAAATAAATAAATGAAGAAACCGCTAAATGAATTCCGCAAGTGCGTCCGCGTCACACGGGAGTGCCTAGTTTAAATAGTAGCAATCGATGCCGCTTTCGAAGGTAAAAATGTTAGTATAACCGTAGAATCTGGATGCAAGACATAAGTAGAAAACGAAGAAGTTCGATTTTCCATTTTACATCGGACTTCTTCGTTTAACCATGTCTACATCCGATTTACAAAAAAAAGAAGGTATGTCAATGCGAGGTTACCTGTGCAGGTGTCTGCGCAGGTAGACTGGAGCGTAAATCTAAAGCAAAAACTGCGCAGGCCCATGCTATACATGCTCCGGTCTACTTGCGCAGGCAAGGCACGGCGTAAGAGCGCTGTTGTGTGTAAGAGCGACATCACGCGGGAGGGATAGAGAATGTCAACGTAGATTATAAGCGGAGCAAAAGTTATTTGGGTTTATAAATAAGTCTTCATTGTAACATTGTTATACCTTGCACACCGCACACACATGGACGAGAGCCTTCTGTGCTGCTTTCTTCTGGTCTGTGGCGCTGTGCCCTTGTTGTTTCTTCAATTTCGAAGCTTTTTCTGCAGCTTTTGCTTGTGATTGAATTTTTTGCTGACCTCGAGCCATTCTTAATACCTGAAAAGCTAAATTAGTGTAAGATGAAATCTGATCAGATAAAGCAATTTATATAGAAAGAGCTACTTGATTCAAAATATCTAATTTGTGCATTATGCATTTTAAGCTTTCATCCACAGCGAACGATTAGGCAAAGCACACATTTGACTGCACGACATTTGGCGTATTGGTGTATTCCCTCTACGCTAAGTGCTGTGGGTTCAAACCCCACATGGGACGACACTTTGTGTGATATATAAAATGTTGTTCTGAGTCTGGGTGTTCTTTGTGTCTGTTTCATGTATGTTTGTAAGTCCCCCGTGACAGGATATACTTATTACCTAATTTTTAAAAAAGAAAAAGAAAAAAAATACATATTATACATAGAAACACTTGACCAAATCAAACATTAAATGTTCGTGCACACAAATCTTTGACTTGAGCCGGAATCGAACCCATGACCTTTGGAATAGCAGTCCGTTACACAAACCACTATGCCATCCATTAATGTAGTGTGTTAGTTTTTACATTAAAATAATAGCATTTAAAATATATGAAGCTCATTCAAAATGATCTCCATTAGCTTTAATTCAGTCCCTTAATCTTTGCTGCCAGTTATCAATAGAAACATGCACTCTCTCCATAGGAAAATTCTTAACTGCCAATCTTGTACATTGTAGTGTGGGGGACTTCCGAATAATAGCATTTAGAGCATGCCACACTCTCTGAAACTGACTAAATCATCATCAGGATCAGGACTAGATGACGGCCAGCCTTTAGTTGGATGCCTGGGTGGATTGAGCATTTACATAGTCAAAGTTTGTACATGTTAGACCTAACAAGAAAGATGTGTTGTTTGTAGTAGTATTGTTATCTACGTATAATCTGCAAACAACATTTATTTATAAACACTCTTAAGATCGTATAAGTTATCAATGTAAATGATGGACAAAAATTTCCCAATTGTGAAATTTCCATTTTTACTGCAGACTGCACAGTCTGAATCCTGTTAACCCAGTAAGGAGTAAGAAGATCCACTGTGAATACTTCATGAACATGCCCATTAAATAGAATTAGATAAATGACAACAGATACCTAGAGCATTGTGGCCATCCCCCAAGCATTACCAATATGTTTTACAAGCTAAAGGCTGGCATCAGTCCTTGAGGGACCCATTGTAAAACATTTTATATTTGGTGCAAAATGTGTGTTAAGATGGTTGGGTCTGCCAATTTCTGTGTCATGTCACTAGCCTTTTATTACTATTTTAAGCTATATTAATTTTTGCATTTTTGCTGACATTCTTCTTCACTATTAAATATTGATAAGGGGCCTAACAAGCAGATGGATCACCTGATGGAAGGTAGCTACCACTGCCATGGGATTCTAGGGGGAAAGGAGCTTTGGGCTCCAGTAACCTCACTGTGTTGGTGAAAAGTAAAAAGAAACAGAAGAATTGCTAACACAGGTTTTTGGCGAGGCTGTGTGTATCACTCCGGTCCAGCCGCCCATACGTAATGAAGCATGTCATTTTAATCTTATCATCACTACTTTTTGAAATGTTAAGAAAAATAACCCATAACCAAGTTGAACACCTATTAGAAGTTCAATATTTATACTTCAGTATAAATAAAGTTATTTAGTCAAATTTATTGAAAAGTGAACAGCTTTATAGCTCTAACCAAACCAACAATAAATGTGAATAGTTTAACATTTTGTGCAATATTTGAGCAATATCCTGTTCATCCATAAAACTATGAATATCAAATGAGCCACAACAACACGAATCGTGTACTGTTTATAAAACGGATTTACCTTTAAGTTGAAAGGTTTAAATATATTGCGTATGTAGCAGCAGCAAATGAGTTGCTTACAATTTGACTAATTTAATTTCATGGTTAGGGAAGACGGACAATATGATACATATATAATAACACATTTAAACACTTCAATCACCACGTACATGATGAGACTGCTTTTCGGCAACCTAAAGCTTTTATTTTACAAATGTAAATCATTTTAAGACAAAATAGATGACAATACATAAAAAGCCATAACTACGATAATAACATGAAAACAGATGATTTACCTGTAGGTTTTTATATCAGATCTTGATCGAGCAAATTTTCGTAGGCGATGCTCGCGAGAGATATTGTTAAGAGCACCAACGTCAACAATCAACACGCGTTTAAAATCTACAATGAAAACTTGTCGAAACTTACAAAATGCCAACGAGGATGCAGATTGAATGGATGATTTAATGGATTGGAAATTTGGTTGATGAGTGACAGAAACATAAATGAATGAATGTAGAATATAAAAAAATACACAGAGCACATAAACCTGCAAAATAATCGAAAAATCCAGTGTAACCAACAGAAAAAAATTATACCTACATGATACTTTTAAATCCCTACTAATAGGAACAAAATCTATGGGTACATAATTATTTATAGTCTGACAATAAAGTCGTGAAATTATTGTTTGTAGAACTAAAACTTTAGCAACACTCATTGACTGCCAAACTACATAAGTAGTACAGCACTCAGTAGTCACTTCGTTGTATTTTTTAAGTTAGAGGGGGCAGGAAGTGACCATCGCCGCCCATGAACGTCCGCAACTCAGGAGTCAGCAATGTGTTGCCAGCATTTTAGAGAGGAGTACGCTCTTTTCTTGAAGATCGTATCGGTTCGGAAGTCTTGCAGACGATAACCCGTTCCATAGATTGGTTGTGCGGAGCAAAAAGTGTCTCAAAAAACGCACAGTAGTGGAGCGCCAACTATCCAGGTGATGAGGATGAAAAATGCCAATCAAACACAAACTCTAATCGAAACACCTCCTTAATAACCAACAAGGTTATTATAAATTTGTAATAATTATATTTTTTAATTTGTATACTTCCTTTTACTTACTTACTTTCCATTAAAATTTGTTAAAAATAATGGACTATTTTTAGTCTATATATTATAGAATGTGACTATTATAATGTGTTTATGTCTTATTTTTAGGCTCTTACATCTGCTTCAACTGTAAATTAAATTAAATTGTGGTTACTGGAAAATAACATTCCATTTGATGAATCGTTAGGAAAGCCAACTTTATTAATGCTTGTAAAAAAACATAAACCAGAACCGGTGTACTATATTGATGGTTTACTCGGAGAACATGGGCATAAGACTGCCACATTACTACTGCAATCTGAATCCCATAGAACTAGTTTGGGCAATGGCAAGGGCGAATTGCACAAGAAAATGTTGGTGGTCAGAATGTTGCTAAGTTGGGTGTAGAAAAATTCCAGTTGGTAAAACCACATGAATTTAAGAATTGTGTTGAGCATGGAAAAATATTGATAAAGAATATTTTACTCGTGACAGAACTCTATACATGGAGATAGACAGACTTATTGGATGTATGTGATGATAGTTCCAGTGATTCTAAAGAGGTCGGAGTGGACCAAAAAAATAATTTGCAGGAGTTTCAGGCAACTAAATATTCGTAGGTGCGACAAAAGTATTTGAAGATTGCAATCTATTGTAAAGCCCAAGTATTTGTTTTAATTTACGCGTTTAAGACATTTATAATAAATGCTTACAGTCACAAACCCCACACGGGTTTGTACAGGGGTTCAGGCATCATAAAATAATTATATTGTTTTATAAAAGAAAGGTATTTTTTTTTGTCGAAGTATATAGGGATACCAGGTATAACAGCAGTGGCGCCCTCCATTTTTTCATGACTCTTGACAGACTGTACTCATAGACTTAGTACCTTATTGGACGCTAGTATGTGTACCGATGCATTTTGCAATTATTTTGTTTGCTTTCGTGCCCCATTTTTATTAAACAAATAATGTAAAAAATTAATGTTTAGTTTATAATTTAGAGAAAATAGCACAAAATTATTAAACAAAACTGAGGGGTCTATGGGTGTAAGGGGTCTATGGGCCCCCGGTCGGAACGAAGTTCTTTGCGATTTTTGGAGAACATTTGCTATATATATGAAAAAGATGCGAGCCTCGACGCGCCAAATGAAGAGTCGGAATAAAGTCTCGTTACACATTTTTCGGTCTCGCTGCCACCCAGAGCGTGTACTGCGCTATAAGGAACTTCGTTCCAATATTTGCTTTAAAGTTAAAATTATGTATAAACTATCTACTACACTATAGCTGTTCAATTTACATTTTGGTGTTAGTGTTATTAAACGTACTTTTTCTGTTTCATATAGAAATTTGTGTTAGTACTTGTTGTTTTTCTTAAAAAAATATGATTTTAAATGCAAAAAAAATAGCATAAGTTTTTATTGTGGACTACATAAGTTCATCTTAAGGTTCAAAATCTGACAGACAGATTGTAGTAGTCTTTTCTATATGATTAGTGTGAATTCCACAAACTTAAAACTAAAACAAAAAATTAACATATCAGTATTTTTTTTAATTACCAATTTCTACATTCAATTTAATTCCAAATTTTTACAGCAAAAAATGTCTGCTAAAACACGCATTTATAAACGTCTGTTTTTATTATTTTAAATGTTAGATTAATATGATGGAATGGGTTTGAAAGCAAAACTGAGATTTTTACTTTTTGTGAAGTTTGGCAACCCTGCTGGCCTTGTCTTGTCAAAGTTGTCAAGTCAATATTGTAAATAAATTGTTTTGGTTTGGAATGTACTGCTGATAATAAATGTTCAAGCATAACCTTACTTTTAAATGAATTATTTAGTGAAATAAAATGCAAAAAGTAAGAATGCAGCAGTACGAAGTATGAAAAATGGAAAAGCAGTTGGCCCCGACGGTATACCAGTGGAAGTTTGGAAGCTACTGAAAGAAGACGGATATAAGTGGCTGACTCTATTCTTCAATATGTTGTTGCTTGAAGAGGTAATCCCAAAGGAATGGTGTCAAACCCAACTCGTACCCATTTTCAAAAACAAAGGAGATGTTCAGGAATGCAACAACTATCGAGGAATAAAGCTCATGTCACATACTATGAAAGTCTGGGAGAAAGTGATTGAGAGAAGAATAAGAGATGAGAGTCAGATAACCCAAAGTCAATTTGGGTTTATGCCAGGACAAGGGACAACAGATGCTATATTTGCAATGCGCCAACTATGTGAGAAATACAGGAGTGCGCACAAAAACTTGCATATAGTGTTTGTGGATCTCGAAAAGGCATATGATAGGGTACCCCGAGAGGTTTTGTGGTGGGCTTTGAAAGAAGAAAGAGTGCCTGTTAAGTATGTAGAATTGATTCGTGCTATGTACAGAGATTCATCCCGTGGGTGTCGTAAGAGCCGACTAAGGGAGCAAACTAAGCAGGACAACAGCACTGCAAAGAGAAGGAAAACTTGAAACAAACCCTATACCAACCCGTCTGGCCAGCGTGGTATAGTAGGCCAAAACCTCCTCTTTCCAAGGAGAGGCCTATGTCCAGCAGTGGACTAGTATAGGCTGTTGATGATGATGATGATGATGATGTACAGAGAGTCTAGCACTCATGTAAGGTCGGTCACGGGAAACACTGATCAATTCAGTGTCTCTGTAGGCTTGCACCAGGGATCAGCTCTGAGCCCATACCTCTTCCTGTTGATAATGGATGCTCTGACATCGGACATACAGGAGGAGGCACCTTGGTGCATGCTATTTGCAGATGACATTGTGTTGGTCGGTGAGGATGGGGTTGAGGTCCAGAGCAGACTGGAAAAATGGCAACAAAGGCTGGAGAATGTTGGCTTGAAATCAGCAGAACCAAAACTGAGTACATGTTCTGCGATTTCGGCGGTCTCTCCAGTCCTGAAACCATTTCGCTGGATGGGATAGCGATAACAGTCTGCTCCAATTTCAAGTACCTCGGCTCCCTCTTACAATGTGATGGTGAGATTGATCGAACTGTACAGCATCGAATCAATACGGGATGGATGAAGTGGCGGCAGGTAACGGAACAACTTGTGACCCCAGTTTCCCCTTAAAACTGAAGGGACAAATTTATAAAACTATTATCAGACCTGCCGTACTGTATGGTTCTGAAAGTTGGCCCATTAAGAGAACGGATGAGAGACGCCTGAACGTAGCCGAAATGCGAATGCTGAGATGGATGTGTGGTGTGACTCAGATGGACAAGGTTAGGAATGAGTATATACGAGGGAGTCTGAAAGTAGCGCCACTGGATGAAAAGTTAAGAAGTAATAGGTTATCTTGGTATGGACATGTCATGCGGAGGGATGAGGAAAATGTGGCGAAGAAAGTTTTAGGTATGAGAGTTGAAGGGTATAAGAGAAGAGGCAGACCGAAGAAAAGGTGGATGGACTGCGTGAGGGAGGATATGGCTAGCAAGGGAGTAAACAGTGAGATGACGCATGACAGAGTAGAATGGAAAAATCATACATACTGCGCCGACCCCAAATAAAATTGGGAAAAGGGTAGGCAGATGATGATGAGAGATATAGTTTCTCTAGGCAATCTTAAATACTTATGCTTTTCAATTAAAGTATTTTTTTATATGATGTTTAACAGTATAACAGGTTACCAAACATGCTTCAACAAACATGACCTGATTTGCATGGGAAAAGCAACTTGTTTGGCATATATAAATTGCTATCACCATATATATTATTTCAACAGCCTTTAAATAGTCTACTGCAGGACATAGACCTCTCCCTAGAAAGGAGGTTTCTAGACTATAAATTATAACTGAATTATAAATTAATGAATGCAATGTGTAATGTATAAATTAACACACAGTACAGTAATAAATGTTTAATGCAATAGAAAAAAATCCTTGTAACAATATTTATGGCAAGACTAGGTATGTCGCCTGTCGTGGTACAAAAGTCTGTACCTTGACCGTTCAAGTGAAGTTATACTGGTCAAGGAAACAAAACAAACTGCCAGGAGATCTCTAGAACATCGATAAGGAATTGCGTTCCGTATGTAATGGGTAGTGAATAATCAATTGTATTTGCGGTGGAGGTGGGACGTGGCGCGCGTGTGCGTGTCGGGCCCCGAGGACGAGCTGTCGCGGCGCTGCCAGACGGCGGTGCTGGTGACGGCGCTGGCGGCGCTGGAGCGCGCGCGCGACGAGCGGCCCGGCGCGCTGCAGCGGGTGCGCGCCGTGGCCGGCTTCTCGCTCGGCGAGATCGCCGCGCTCGTGTTCGCCGACGCGCTGTCGCTGGAGTTCGCGCTGCGGCTGGTGGAGCTACGCGCGGCGGCCATGGCGGCCGCGGCGGCCGAGCGGCCCGGCGGCATGCTCACCGTGTGGCTGGCGCCGGACGCCAACATCAAGCACGCCTTGTTGCGCGCACGCGAGCACGCCGCCGAGCGAGGCGTGCTCGACCCCGTGTGCCAGGTAGCCAACTACTTGTACCCCGGCTGTAAGGTGGTCGCCGGGGATGAAGAGGTACTTTTTTCTGTATGGTATTTATTATACTCATGGTTTTTGTTTTTCAATATGTATTAGAGAGAAAGAGTATGACACGTGTATTTTTACTTTACATACCTTCAAATTGAGTTAAAAAAAGGTTTAACTATAGGTATGGAGGTAAAATATATAAAATTCAAATATGCATTATTCAGTTGGCCTCAGTGCACTATCAAACGTCAGCAGGTACTGCTGACGTTTGATAGTGCACTGCACTAAAAGTAACGAATCACGAAACGAACGAAAAACGAGACATTAGAACAATAAAGATGAGATGACCCTGATGACATAGTGAAAGATCCGAAGAAACATTTACATCTTTATTGCAACGCCTAACTTAAACTAGCAAAAAGCAAAGTATTAAGGTAAAATAATGCTCAGACTAGACTAAAAAAAAACTTGTTGGTAACTTCTATAAATTATAGGAACACAGATAAACATACTCGTTTAGTTTTTTATATATGTACATTATATCCCGACCGATGCAAATGCAATAATGCATATTGAAATTCGCAAAGAGTTGGATTCGAATTCGAGACCGACCACGTCCCAGTCGAATACGGTTTACGGTCAATAGCTATCCTGTTATACCTGTAGTTTAGGGAATGCTCCAATATTTAAGGGTATCATTCGTATACGAAGGCGGTTAAGATATGAATAGATAGGTTTCGTGTGACGGTGTACCGCAGTCACGTGCCGCTTCCTACTGCGCTGTGGGTGTGGGGGTTCGATGTCGGTCTCGGTGTTCTTCGTATCCGATCATAAACGTCTGTAAGGTTTTTTTATAGCGCGGAAGGACTCTTCGTTTTCGTCTCGAAGAGAGCGAAACCGGTATTGACAAAACGCAAGGGTCTCGCGTCGCCGATAACCTTCGGACGGTAGAGACGTTTCGTTAAAACTAGTGGTCGGCGCAGGCGCTGCGGTTCGTGGAGCGCGCGGGCGCCACGTTCGGCGTGCGGCGCGCGGCGCGGCTGCGCGTGGGCGGCGCCTTCCACACGCCGCTCATGGCGCGGGCCGAGGGCGCGCTGCGTGCGGCGCTGGAGAGCGCGGGGGCCGAGGTGCGCGGGCCGCGCGTGGCGGCGTGGTGCGCGGGCGAGGCGCGGCCGTACCGCGACGCGCGCCACGTGCGGCGCGGGCTGGCGCGCCACGTGGCGGCGCCGGTGCGCTGGGAGCAGACGCTGCACGCGATGTACGCGCGCGAGCGCGGCGCGTCGTTCCCGCTGACGCTGGCGCTGGGCCCCGGCGCGGCGCTGCGCTCCACGCTGCGGCAGGTCAACGCGCGCGCCTGGGACTCCTCGCTGCAGGTGGACGTGTGACGCGTATAACGAAACGACCGTTCGATGTAAATAAATGTATAGATAAGAGTTTATTTTACGATAATTATACTCGTAGTTACCGCTCTCTGTTTATTTCGTACCCTATGACGTTCGTTACCGTGCCGACCGCGGCCGTCCTTATTTTTTTTGATGTGGTTAACGTTTTTTTTAATAAGTATTTATTTGACCGACTAGCTGAGACCCGCGGTGTTACCCGCGTTTGTTGTTATAACCGCGGGCAACGCCGTGGAGCGAAGCTAGTCCAAAAAAAGTAGCCTAAGTTACGCCTTATGTCATCAGCTATCTGCCAGTGAAAGTCCCGTCGAAATCGGTCCAGCCGTTCCAGAGATTACCCGAAACAAACAGGCAGACAGACATACAGACAGACAGACAAAAATTGAAAAAAAATGTTATTTTGGCATATGTACCGTGTAAACATACATATGCATTTAGTAAAAAGCGGTTATTTTAATATTACAAACAGACACTCCAATTTTATTTATTTGAATAGATATATAGATAGATAGATAGATAACTCTTTATTTGCACACTAAATTACAGAGTTTCAAGAAAGGAACACAACGATCAAATATCGAGTGTACAAAGGGCGGCCTTATTGCTAAATGCAATTTCTTCCAGGCATATATTAGGATATTTGGGTTTAAAAAAGAACCTAGACAATATTTAGATCGAGTTACACTAGCGTAAAACTAAAGTAGTGTTGTTTTATTCTTATGATTGTATTCACATCATCATCATCACATAAACAGCCTTTAACAGTCCACTGCTGGACATAGGCCTCTCCTTAGAAAGGAGGTTTTGATGATTGCATTAATGCATTAATATTATTGTATTCATTAAAAAACACAAGTTTTTTACACATAAAGGCATTAAAATTTAGTTCAAAACTTTAATCGCTGCTTGCCTAAACCAGGGTAAACCTGTGTTTCAGGCGATCGCTTGACATAGAACTTTTAAACTAATTGTTAATTAGGTAGAAATGTAAGAAAAACAAAACAGATCAATAGAAAAGATGAAAATACTACAAAGTGTACACGAACGAAAGCAAAAAAACAGAAAATAATATAAAATAAAAACAATTTTAGACTCATTTAATAATTTCCAATACATTTTCTGTGCATAGTTAAATTTACCTAAGTATTTTGATAAGCTCATCACACATTTTTTATTATGAAGGCTGTAAATATTTAGTATCCTATTATTGTTATTGTACAAGAAAGGTCCTAAAAATATATAAAATCTATGAACAAATGCATGACTACCTTGAGGCCCGCTACACACTGTGTACTGTCCTTCCTTCTATTATTTGATGGTAAAGGGTTATAGGGAGGTTCAGTATGCTGTGCAATTTAAATAACTGTCGGACTGTTACTACATTACATGCCATGTAAAGAATGGCTCTTTGAGCGCGCTCTAAAGGCAGTGATATTGACTTTGCTGCACCACCCCATGAAGTTATGCAATAAGTAAGTATTGATTGACACCACGATAAATAGACTTGCCTTAGTAATGTGTAATCAGCTACATTGCGAATACTCTTAAATATATATATTAAGTTTCGCGCTCTTGTGAATAATAAACCAACGTGTTTGCGGAAATTCAAATGTTGGTCAAGGAAGAAACCTAAATATTTCACATCATTGGCGTTTGCTAAAGCAGGACAGGTACAGGCAAAGTCAGCAGATGTTTTGCAGCTATGTGCGTATATCTTTGAATTATCCAATATTTTCATTGCGAACATGGGTTTACAATTAGGTGTTACACTTTAAAACTGTTCTGCATATCCTACTTTTAGGCATGCAATAAGATTACCTACATTAAGAGTGAGTTTGAGCTTATGTATTGAATATGCTGCTTATGTATCATAAGAGGTCAGAATCCTATTTTCATGTCAATATTAACTAAATATCAATTACAATAATATTATTAAAAAGTTTAAATGTCATAAGCGTAATAAATTATGTATCACAGTTATTAAAACTGTATTATTAGTAGGTTGTATGTTGTACTTATTAAAACATGCATTCAATTACATTTTCTCCGTTAAGAACTCAGTTACAAAATAGTACGCCTTCATTTTCAAAACTTCTTTTAACTTGCTCTTGGGCTCAAGTTTTACCATTGTTGCGGTAAATGATTGTAATATTTAATACAGAAAACACTTCTACGCATAAATACAGTTTTAGCTTGGAGTAGGCGCGGCTGTTTCGTGAAACCGTATCCTCAAGCCGTGGAAATAAGCCTGGATTTGTTTTAACAAACATTGCCATTTCTAATATATAAATGCTTGGCAACGTCAATATTTTATATTTCTGAAAGTAAGTTTTACAGCTATCACTTGTTTTTAGTTTAAACATCGACCGTATGCATCTCTTTTGACACTTACAAGCAAATAATATATCTGTAGAGTTCCCCCAGAAAATGCCGTAGCGTAAATTTGAGGCACCTAAACTGTAGTATGCGGTGCTGATGCTTTCTATAAAAGGAGATTGAAAGTATACGATTGTACCGTGTGTGAAACTGTTAAAAACTGACTATTGCTACTTGTGGAACGAGTCTCTTGACGGAAAGCGTGGTGACGAAGTTGCTACTGTTGGTAAGAATAAATTGTCTAATACCTTTAAACGAGAAATTCTTGTATATATAGGTATATTTATTTATATCTTTAGTGTATACACTCAAAAAGAAAATAACAAAAGATTAATTACAAATAAATAGACGTAACAATCGGCGGTCTTATCGCTCACAGCGATTTTTCAGACAACCTTAACATCGATTTTAGGTATTTAATAGTTTAGGGTGGTATACATAGGTACACGTAACACGTTATCACGTGAATGTTTAAAATATCAATAGACATTCATATACAACTATACATCTATGAACATTACAACAAACGTAAATATTTGAAATATATATTATATAATGAATCTAACAGTGTTTATGATTGTGAGATTCAGTATATAAGTATACCTATACATATAATCTGAATCTCGGAAACGGCTCCAACGATTATCATGAAATTTTGTATACAGGGGGTTGCGGGGGTCCGCTGGGGTGAGAGCGGGGAAGACCAGGACGCGCTCGAAATGCGGCGGAACGCTCACCGACAGGCACTGGTGCAGTGGCGCGTGCGGCTGGAACAGCCACAGAATGCACGCCAACGCACTGTCAGCGCTGTTCTGCCTAACCTCGAAGCCTGGGTAGGTAGGGAGGGAGGTCGCGTCACCTATCGACTGACGCAGGTATTCACTGGGCATGGTTGCTTCGGTGAGTACCTGAATCGTAGCGAGGAGACGGCACAATGCCAGCACTGCGCAGCCGACTGGGACTCCGCCCAGCACACGCTGGAAGACCGCCCCGCGTGGGGTCTGAACGCGAAGTCCTGGTCGGCCAAATCGGAAGAGACCTGTCCCCGCCAGCAATTATTGCTGCCATGCTGGCGGGTGAGGAGGGATGGGGTGCAGTGGTCTCTTTCTGTGAAGCTGTAATGCTCCAGAAAGAGACCGCTGAACGGGATCGGGAGAGTGCCGATCCCGAGCGTAGAGGACGTCGGCGACCACACCAGCCGCCGAAAGTGATTTTCCCATGGGATAGGGCCTGACTAGACATGGTGACAATTCGGGGAGGACCTGAAATAACATGGTCCAGGTCCTCCCAGAGTAGGGGTGGTTTTTAGTGGAATCACCACACTCCTAGCTCCTAGCCCCGAGGAGCAGGAGATCCGAAGGGATTTTCTACCCCGTCAAAAAAATAAAAGGGGTATTGCGGGGGCGATTATAGTTCATCAACGTCGTGCGCGACCATCCTGCGGGGTGACAGACGAGGTACTCAAGATGTCAGCGGGTAGCGGGTGGTGTAGCGGGGAAGGGAAACACTTCTCTTCGTGTGTAGCCGTGTGTTAGAATGATGCGCTACCTCGCCCCCGCCACTGTCTGTCATCCCGCGGGACGGTCGCGCACGAGATTGCCGGGTTATAATCGATCTAGTTAAGTTTAATTTTTATAAAATTTAGCAAAAAATAATACCAGTCATCCAGGTACTACTTACTTTGTGACGCGGCTCTCTGCTTCCTTCGGAGATTTATCGCATACGAATCGACTGCGAAGTTCGGTGTCGGTGGGTTACGGCGATAAAAATAACACTAATTTTCTTTTTCGTTTATTTAATTTAACATATAATATTAATTTTTACGTTCACTTCGTCGGATAGGTACAGAGATTCGCATCCGAGGAGAAGGATCTACGGGCCCGCGCGGAGGGGCCCAACGGGACCGGGTCGGGCTTCGACTGACTATTTACGAGGAGCCGCTCGGAAAGCTCACCTCGCCGTGGACGGAACGGCGCTACAGGTTGAGGGGGTTGGGGGTGGGCTGGCCGCCCGCCGCCGCCACGGCCGCGCCCAGCTCGGCCAGGCGCGCGTGGTGCCGCAGCGAGCGCGGCGCGCGCGTGGCCGCCAGCGCCGCCGGCATGCGCGTCACGCACTCCTCGGCCCACGCCTCGGCCAGGCGCAGCTCGTGCGCGGCCCCGGGCAGCGCGCGGCGCGCGGCCCGCGACGCGCGCGCCAGCACGGCCGCGCCCGTGTACGCGTCCACGGCCGCCGCCGCCAGGTGCTGCAGCACGAGCTGCTGGTCCACGATGTCGCGCCCGTGCCGCACCAGCGCCGCCTCCACGGAGCGGCCGTGCTCGGCGCACAGCTTGGCCAGCTCGGAGCCGAGCGGCCGCAGCTCGGGCGCCAGCAGCGGCGCCAGGTCGGGGCCGCGCGCGAGCCCGACGGCGGCCGAGGCGCGGCGCCCGGCCTCGCTGAAGATGAGCCCGAGGTGCGCCGTGGGGTTCTTGAAGGCGCGCTGCAGCTCCTGCAGGTGGCTCCCGGCGAACTGGATGCCGGTGAGCGCGACGAACAGCCGCAGAATGTCGTTGGTGCCCTCGAAGATCCGGAAGATGCGGAGGTCCCGCAGCACGCGCTCGAGACCCGTCGCCTTCATGAAGCCCATGCCGCCGAGGATCTGGATCGCCTCGTCGACCACCGCCCACGCAGAGTCGGACGCGAACACCTACCGGACGTTCGACGGTCGTTAGACGTTACGATACTCGTTTATTAGTTAAAAGGCCCGGCTGTAGGTTCACTATTCCTATACCACATACGAGGGCGGGTCAATAAGTCCGTGACTTTTTGAATTTCTGACCTCTTTACTGAAAAAGCAACACTACTCCTGTCAACAGGCATCTGTCAGTTGACTCCTGTCAAAATTTGAACTTGCTGCGTCAGTTAGTTTGTGTTTGACAGCTATCTTTATCAGACTACCCAGTAATTTGAGGAAAAAATGGAAAAAAGTGAATTTCGTGTACTTATTAAGCATTATTTTTTGCGAAAAAAAACCATTACCGAGACCAAGACTAAGCTTGATAAATACTATAGAGACTCTGCACCATCGATTTCAATGGTAAAAAAGTGGTTTACTGAATTTCGTTGTGGCCGTACAAGCACTGAAGATGCCGAACGTCCTGGACGCCCAGTTGAGGTCTCTTCACCCGAAACAGTCGAAAAAATTCACGATATGGTGTTGGCCGACCGAAGATTGAAAATGCAAGAGATTGTGGAAGCCGTAGGGACCTCGCATGGCTCAGTGGTTTCAATTTTGAATGATCACTTGGGCATGAGAAAGCTTTCCGCAAGATGGGTGCCGCGATTGCTCACAGTCGACCACAAACGCAATCGTGTAACAACTTCACAGGAAGGTTTGGCGTTGTTTAATCGCAATATGGAGGAGTTTTTGCGTTTTGTAACCGTGGACGAAACATGGATCCATCACAACACACCAGAGACTAAACAACAGTCAAAACAGTGGGTTTCTAAGGGTGAATTGGCGCCAAGGAAGGCCAAGGTGGGTTTGTCAGCCAATAAAGTTATGGCGACTGTCTTTTGGGATGCACGCGGGATAATCCACATTGACTACCTTCAAAAGGGAAGAACAATCAATGGGGAATATTATGCCAACTTATTGGACCGATTCAATGACGATTTGAAAAAAAACCGACCTCATTTGACCAAGAAAAAAGTTCTTTTCCACCAAGACAATAATGCAAGGGTGCACACATGTGCAGTTACCATGGCAAAAATTCATGAATTGGGCTATGAATTGCTCCCTCATCCGCCCTATTCTCCAGATTTGGCTCCGAGTGACTACTTCTTGTTCCCAAACCTGAAGAAATGGCTTGGTGGAAAAAGATTTGACTCCAATGATGAAGTCATCTCGCAAACAAAGGCCTATTTTGAGGACCTCGACAAATCATATTTTTTGGAAGGGATAAAAAAATTGGACAAGCGTTGGACAAAGCGTATAGAGCTCAAGGGAGACTACGTTGAAAAATAAAATGTGTTTTATTCCAAAAGTCACGGACTTATTGACCCGCCCTCGTAGATATGCTGAATTTTTCGTTTAGATAGTTTAGGGCTAAGCGTTTCAGGCGCGAACGCCTAGATACCTTGGAGATGGCGGCCTCGAGGTGGTAGTCCTGCGCGCCCGAGTCCATGTTGCCGCTGACCATGTAGGCGAGCGTCTCGGTGGTGTACTGGCGCATGGCCATGCGCGCCAGCTTCTCCCGCACGGAGTCGAACTCGGCCAGGCGCTTGCCGAACTGCAGGCGCGTGGCGGCGTGCTCGGCCGCCTGGCGCAGCGCCGAGCGCTGGGTGCCGGCCAGCGCCGCCGCCATGCCGAAGCGCCCGTTGTTGAGGATGTTCATCGCCACCTTGAACCCGTTCCCGAGCCCGCCCAGCACGTTCTCCACGGGGATCTTCACGTCCTCGTAGTACACCTCGGTGGTGTTGGAACACTTGATGCCCATCTTGTCCTCGGGCGGGCCGGACGACACGCCACCGAACGAGCGCTCCACGATGAACGCCGTCACCTGTCACAGCGCATGACCGTTACGCACGATTTCCAAGAACGTGTCGTTGGTTCGATTAAAACGTATATTTGTGATGGAATCGATTTTACAGATTTCTCTATAACCGTAGGAGAGCCGTGCACGAGTGGTGTTCTCTAGTTTATTGTTTCGTGCTTTAAACGTATTTAAACTTCGTCTAAGAATTTTATATTGTCTTCGAAATTATTTAAATAACCACATTTTATAAGTTCGGCAACTATTATACTTATTTTGATACTTTTCTCTCTGAATGCATTACCTACAGGGTATTACAGAAGGATGGACTAACATTTGAATTCGCTTACCGAAACCCAAAAAGTAAATCTGTATTTCAAATAAACAGCTTATGCAAAAAAGAAAACCTTTTCAACCCTAAAATTGGTTAACATATAATTTTAATTTATATAGATATGTAACGCACACAAGTTTATAGTACAAAATAAATGAACAGTCAACATCGCTCACCACAAGAGCAACAAGCCAGTCAAGTAATGGATGACTGGACAGTGGACGTGTTACAGTCGGTGACAGTTCAATTTTTAAACATACATGCTTACATCATACAACACTTGAACTATTACTAAATGATTAGTTTTAAGTGTACATCAAACCGTACCAAACACACAATGTTCTCCAAAGAGGTACCTTATCGACAGTCTTTCCGTCCTTCTGGATCGGCGTTTGCGCAAACACGGTCATGATCTCGGCGATGCCCCCGTTACTGATCCAGATCTTGGAGCCGTTCAGGATGAAATGCTTGCCGTCGGGCGACAGCACCGCACGAGACCTGAGACACGCACACAACACGCTCGTAAGGGAAGTAACTATCGATATCGAGTAAAGTTCTGTGAAGCGATGACACGAGATCACACAGCGGTATGGAGGCGAACCCACTTGATAGAGCCGGCGTCGGAGCCGGACGAAGGCTCGGTGAGGCAGAAGGCGGCGTACTCCCCGCCCGTCACGCGCGGCAGGTACTTTTTCTTCTGCTCGGGGGTGCCAAACAGAAGGATACCCTTAAACCCGATGGACTGGTGCGCGCCCAGCGTGATGCCCACGCCCAGGTCGTGCGCGCCCACCACCTGCACACAGGAGCGCCGTCACCTTGGCGTACATGGAGGTCCACTACATATATAGCACATGTCACGGGGCTCACCTCCACGAGACGCGCGTACTGCGTGTTGTTGAGGCCGAGCCCGCCGTGGTCGGAGGGCACCTGCAGCCCAAACGCGCCGAGCTCCCACAGCCCCGCCAGCGTGCCCTCTTCTATTTTCGCTGCCGAATCGTTTTTCGCTGGGTCGTTAACCTATATGAACACGCAACGTATGGAATATTACATTTATATGTCTACGGTGGACCCGTTTTCTGTGTATTGTTTTTTTTCTTTAAACACGTGATATCTACACATAATCCTGTCCAATTTAACAATATAAAGGAAGGAATGAATGCTTAAAATACAAAAATAACCTGGTTTTATTTCATTTTTTATTTATTTAATTTTGTGATACATATGTGGTTAAGATGTCAATTTTATTATGTACAAGCTATGTCCCGCCGAAAGGCATACAAAATATTAGGCAATGATATACGGTGTCTACCAATGCAAAATTCGCTGCAGCGACGTTCTTGAGAGGCCCAGTTGTGACGAACGTCTCCTGGTTGATGTTTCTGGATCCTCCCGAATACTCTCCTGTACCACTTGAATATTGTCAGCCGTGTGGACAGTTCGGTGTCTGCCGGGACCAGGAAGGTTCCTTACTGCTCCTTGTTCTCGAAAATTTGCAACCAGACGGTTTATTGTTGACTGAGAGGGTGCAACCCGCACATTAAATTGACGACGGTATGCACGCTGAGTCAACACAATGGACCGTTGATTTGAAAAGTAAATTTCAACAATTTGGGCACGTTGTTCAATTGTGTATTGCTCCATTATAAATTATCCAAGTCTTCTTTACAAAATACTGAAAAGAAAAGAAAAAAAAAATTATAATAAAAAAGTTATAAGGAATTCACACCACTTCGGTCTTTCTGGGCCACCCAGTATATCGGCCAAATGACAGACGGTCACCCGCTCACGCCAATTTTCGATGACGCGGTGCACCATTTCGGCCGGTATGTTGGCTATGACTCGTCGAATGTTGGTTTTTAGGTCACGAATTGTAGCTGGATTATTGCTGTACACTTTAGATTTAACGTAACCCCAAAGAAAATGGTCTAAAGGTGTTAAATCACACGATCTTGGTGGCCAACTGATCGGTCCATTTCTCGAAATTAACGACTCACCAAACTTTCCACGCAATAATTCCATGTTCACTCGAGTAATGTGAGGTGGTGCACCGTCTTGTTGAAAATAAAGGTCGTCTGCATCAATATCATCAAATTCCGGAAAGAAATATTCGGTTAACATCGACTTATAGCGCTCGCCATTCACAGTAACAGGGTTTCCTTCGTCACTCTCAAAGAAGTACGGACCAATGATTGCGGATGCAATGGTGATTCATGAACCACGCGTGGATTTGACCCACTCCAATAGCGACAATTTTGTTTATTAACAAATCCATTGAGCCAGAAATGGGCCTCATCTGAGAAGATGATTTTACGATGAAAATCGTCATCGGCTTCCATCATTTCCAGTGAATAATCGGCAAATTCACGATACAATGGTCGGATGGCTTCAATTCTTGTGCCAAAACAATTTTGTATGGTTGTAGGCCCAAATCCAACCGCAAAATACGCCAGGTGGTCATTGGAGAGAGCCCCAACTGTTGTGAACGCCGTTGAACTGATCGATTTGAATTCGCATCAACACTGGCCTGAACGGCTGCGATATTTTCTTCACTACGGGCATTTCTTTGTCTCACAGGCACAGCAGTATCGTGGAGAGTGAATTCACTTTCAAATTTTGTTATTATGCGATTTATAGCGAGCACTGACGGAGCACTATGACGACCGTTTTTTGCGCGAAGCGCTCTTACTGTAGCGGTAGGAGAACGCGAATTTGCGTAATAATTTTGGACAATTTCCAAACGTTGGTTTAAAGTGAAACGTGACATGATAAAATGGCAAACCTTACTGAACACAAATGTCAAGAGACGTCAAAGATACATTATCAAACATGGCCGCTATGAACTGTCAAAACCAGGTCATCCCTATTGGTAGACCCGGTATAAACAAAACAATATTATAATACGTCATGGATATTAGGTACATTCTTTAAATATTCTAAGAGTATTGTTTAAATAACGGTAACTTGGTTCGATGGACCATATATTTTTTCTTTATACGAGTTCAAATTATAATAATAATAATAATGTTGGAAAGAAGAAAAAGAGAAGGATGTAAATGTACCTCTTGAAAGAATTTCTCGACGGGCGGCACAAGCTCCTGTAGCATCTGACGCTGGTCCTCCGACAGCGGCTCGGGAAAGGGAAACACCTGAGCCGGCTCGAACTGGCCGCGGAACAGGTTTAACACGAACGAGGCGCTCTGGCGCGGCGCCGGCCGCGACGACGACCATCGTGCGCTGTGAACACAATCAGCTCACACTATTATTTTATACTACTCGTATGTACTATGTGCAGATACTCGTACCATACGTTGTTCCATAAGGGTTTGCAATAATACGACCATTTTTACTGTTATTCCTCATCATAACTTCAAAACAAACTGACCGATTCAATTCAAAAAGTAATTTGCACCTGAATATATGGCCTAAATTCTTAATTGGTTTATTTAGATGAGGATTAATATCATGATACTCATAGAATCACTATTGCTTGGATACACTTGATCTTAGTTGACTAAATTCAACATAGAATGGTTATTAGACACAGTTAAACTATAATTGCTCTCGCAAGTCCTAAATATGAATTTATCACTAGCGTTAGGCTAACAGAGTTTCATATTCCAATGCGAATGTGTGGCAATAACTTACGCCGTCACAACGGCCATGTCAAGGGTTATTATGGAGTATGTCATTCGAATACTGTCAGTCAGTATGGCCGTCTTAAAGGCACTCGTGGGCACACAATGACCTCTGGTATTGTCTTCGAATCGTCATCATCGTCAATCATCAACAGCTTATAACAGTCCACTGCTGGACATAGACCTTTAATTAAAAAGGAGGTTTTGGCCTACTATACCACGCTGGCCAGACAGGTTGGTATGGGGTTTGTGTCAAGTTTTCCTTCTCTTTGCAGTGCTGTTGTCCGGCGTAGTTTGCTCCCTTAGTCGGCTCTTACGACACCCACGGGATGAATAGGGGTGGTGACATTCCGTATTCTTAATCCGTCACCACACGACTATCTTCGAATGCCATCAAGCAATGGAGCAGGTGGCCACATTAAATAGGGTACTCCTCCAATGGATTAAAGGGCACAGATGAGTTGGCAACGGGGGGCTCGGCAACCCAGGCTGCCAGCCCAACTATACTCCTGCCACTACCTTTCAATCGACGTTGATCTTGGGCCAGACAACGAACTCGAGACGCACACAACCGGAGGTGGAAGGACTCACCCGGCTGCAGATAGTCCAAACTGGTGCTCACTGAAGTCACACCACGACTCACTTGCAGACTGATCAGTTTTAGCAGACTAGATATTAGAATAGTTGTAGGAACTATAAAAAAAACACCTAGTACTGAACCGGCAACTAAGACGGCAACTAGACGGGTCGGTCTATAGAGCGGAGGGCGAAAGCGCAGCGGAAGAGGAGATTGCGGATCTCCTGTAGAAGATCCAGGCGCCGGTAGAAAGCAGTTCCGTCCCCCTAACACCGGTGTCTTTGCAGGAGAGAGCAAACGTGGCAGTTGCCATAATACAGAAAGTGGCCACCAAATCCAGAAACCTTAAGAGTTCCTTTGTAAGGACTCTGAAGGACTCCTCTTTCGCTATCGCGGGAGTCGTTGAGACCATCGTGCGGGACGTGGCTTTAGTTATTGCAGCGCATGTGAATAAATATTGTTGGCAATTTTTTATACTGCTCTCATCACTCTCTCTGTTGATGAAAACCGCATTAAAATCCATTGCGTAGTTTAAAAGAACTAAGCGACCTTATTTTATACTAGGTAAAAAAGATTCACTGACCTGACCCTGTGGCAGCCTAGGTCATAATGATCAAACAAAGTATCCAAAGAAAAAAGTATCTAAGTCCTAAATGTTTATTGGTATTATTGGTAAGCACAAAATGGTATTAATAATAACGAAAATTATCAGCCTAAACAGGCAGTCAAAACTTTAAATCAGGGGCTGGTGAAAGGAGAATTATATAACTTATAATTAGATGACAAAACAGTCCCAATGATCAAGAAGGCTAGTTTAGTGGTTTTACAATGACAAGAAGACACAACCAAGGCTAGTTTGGTGGTTTTACAATGACAAGAAAAGATGATCAGGAAAGTAAGTTGGTGATTTAACACTGAAAAGAAGACATGATCGGGTCGACTACTTTGGAGCTTGATATTTAAAATTCAAAAGAAAATTGTATGGAGTCGGAACCTTACTTAGAGTTTTATTGAAACGGTAAATTATGCACTGTTAGACAAACGCCCAACCTTCGAAACCTCCTTTCTAAGGAGACGCCCGTGTCCAAATGAAGTTCTAATGGCTTTTAATGATGCTTAACGTATCGTAGAGCTTTAGTGTCACAAACTTAAGCTACCTGACTTTCAACATTTACATACACCAGTTTTAAAATATTATACTAAATAAGTGTATGTTTAGAATAGAAGTGCTTTAACCAATACACCTTGCTATGTAATCAACTTTGTTGCATAAATATGTCATACATCTATCTACATAATACATATACCCAGTCATAAACACTACTTATGACTAACAACTAATAAAATATACTTAGAAAGTGTGGCCACATACACTGGTTCCTGAAATATTCTGTGAGGAGCAAGGTCCCGCAGTACTACTATGGCTCTGAACTGAAAAATTATTTGAGTCAGTAACATCCTATACAATATCTACCATATACACTAGGGCTGTTTTAATATGATTTCATTTACTCCCTGTCAAATATAAACAAGTATATCTATATTAAATATAATCTCAAGACAACCTGACATTGCTATTATAAAACAAAGCTTAGCCATTGTCAATGAGTTACATAACTACATGCCAATTTTAAAGATGCTCAAATAGTGTCAAGTCCAACTTGGCACCCTTCACCAAGGAGCCGAGCCACTCGCTCGCCGTTGTCTTACATTCATTGACTTTCTACTGAACATCCTAAATATGAAAACTAATGGAAGTTATTACAGTAACTTATTTCATTGCATATATTCCTGTAGACAAGTTGTTACTGCTCAATTTAAGATATATATATATATATGTTGTTCAAAGCTCAAAGACCTTTGGTTTCAAAACATTAACAAAACTATATATGATCAGGTTACACTTGAGAACTATTATGTTATTGATATTTTGTGTTTATAGCTTTTAATAAAAATTTATAGGTAACTGAAAGTACATCACATCTGCTCTTGATTACAATTTATTAACAGGTGGAATAAAATTATTTCATCTGTTTAGAACTATTTCAAAAATATTTTTTTACTAGCTAAACATAAAGTTCATTTTCAGTGTAGTTGAACATGTCAGGGGCTTATATATAAAGTGATATTTAAATTGTATGAGACATATTTTTATGATCAATTTTGTTTTATTCCATCCAGCTACATAATATAAATACCATCAAGGTGCATGTTCTGCTTATTTATAGCTATTATTTCGAATGACTAAAGGTAGATTACACAATTCAGTCAGTGGGTAAATTGGGTTTATATTAAAAGTAGCACTAAACATCACTATGTGTTTAAATGTTATTCCAATATGCGATTGATTGAAAGTTTTGGCTTTTATACAAGACGAAGTTCATTATTGAGGTTGCGGTACAAAGTCCACGGCAATTGTGGACTATGTAACAACAAGGCCACTTTCATGAACGTGTATAATTATTTATAAATATTATGTACGTAAATTACCTGTTTAGCGAAGGCGAATTTCCTTTTAAGCAGCGATTTGCACACGACAACAACTTAGCACCCTTCATTTTGAACTTGTAAATTATGATTTATATTTAAAGCTGTTTGTTTTCTATTTTAAAATCTCATTATAAACTTATGTAATTAGTTAAAACTATAAAAAATATAATCTGATATTAAAAATATGTGAACAGCTGTGATACGCTGTTCCGTCTGTAATAATAAAACAAACTACCTAATATAAAAAATTGTACTGAATCTTAATATTATAACTTTACTGACAAATCTGACAATGACAACCTGACAAACAGTGACAAACAGTGACAGTAACTTTTTAGTGCGTAACTTAGCACTATTTAGTGAAAGTACAAAAACTAAATCTTGTTTTTATTTTAATTCTATACAATTTAAAAGTCTATGGATCTATCTTAAATATATATATATAAATTTAAATGTAAATATTATATATTATGACTTATATTTTGACTGCACGGATGGCGTAGTGGTTTAAGCGGTCGCCACGCCGCTTTCCACTACGCCGAGTGTTGTGGTTTCAAATCCCACATGGGACGACACTTTGTGTGATCCACAAATTGTTGTTCTGAGTCTGGGTGTTCTTTGTGTCCGTTTCATGTATGTTTGTAAGATTCCCCGCGACACAGGATATTTTCCTAATGCGGGAGTTGTCTTTTATTTAAAAAAAAATATATAAATATTTATATAAATACCCATATATTTATATACTTAATTCTAAATTTGTGTATTTTTTAATTATTTCACACGCAGTAACTCAAACTCTCTTTATTTCATAAAATTTTCATAGATCAACACACACAAAAGCAACAATCTCTGTTTTGTCAAATGATAAGCAAATAAATTTAACAAAAATCAAACCCATACAAAATCTATGACATGCCTGTGCCGATCTACAACCGCCCGTTTCCAAGGGGTTGAGCCTCATGAGAAGAAAGGGCAAACAAACTTATGGCCACTCTTTTGCAATTCACAGATAGATACAATGGCACTATTGGCAAACATACCAAAACATTGTTTTGATGTGTGTTAGTATGTCCGTTATTAAGGACTAAAAGGTAAAAAGACAATGAAGAGAAAACAAGATTAAGAAAAAAACGAATACAAGAGAAAATGAAGTGAAACATTAAAAATAGAAAAATATAATAATAATAAAAAACACACTTGACACATCATATTTTTACTTAAGAAAGAAATAGCCTGCGCTAATTAATTCCAAGCATTCTTGTCTTCCATGTTATCCACAATTGAGTAGTAGGCACCCTCTGGCACAAGCAACATTTTATTGCGGGTTTAAATTTGTTAATACTTAACTCTTGAATATTTCTTGGAGTAATTGGTGTATATCAAATTTGGTTGGTCTAGACTCTAGAGGAGTTTAGTCCAAAAGATTGGTGATAAAATCCATATCCAAGGAATAATTGGAGTCTTGCACAGAGCAACATTTCAAATAGTGTCAATCAAAGTGTCAAGTGTCAATCTTGCTACATTATACCAATCTGTGGTGACAATGAAGCGCTGACAACGACAACATTTACACACTGTTGTCTATCGCTCTTTTTATTTTATTTTACATTTAATTTTATTTGTCCTACACCAATCATGTTAGGTTTTTTTATGTATCTATTTGAAATAAAGAAAGAGCTCCTTGTTGGATTTTCCCTGTCAGTATTGTACATAACCTATTATCTAGTGGAAGTGGTCAAGGTAAAGATCATTACGTTATTAATGCTGATAGTTCTACGCACTTGTATGTGTCATCATTGCTAAAGCTAGTGTCTTAACTCTGTGTTGCTTTGTTTTAGAAGCCAATATTGGTTTGCCGTGAGGGTGAGTTTCGGCAATTCCTGGTGCAGAAGGTGCCGCTGTTGAGTGAGCACTACTGGCCGACGCCGTGGTGCGTGGAGTCGCGCCTTCAGACAGTTCTCGGCTCGGTATTACGTTCGCGGCTACTACCTCCTGTCAAGTATCGGCGGTATAAACTTTACACTCTACATATTACACTTTAACATAAAAGTCTAATAGGTCATATCAACTTATGACATCATCCTTAGCCCACACACTGAACGAAACCTTTTGGTATTGTTTAAGAGGGTCTCAGAGAGATAATACATGGTTTGTAATGTTGTTTCATCTTATACACAAACATCTTCTAGTGGCTCCTAAAAATAAACATTTATACAATGTGTAACAGAGCATGCCTCTTTTCTACCAAACTTTTTGTGTTGTGTCAAGTGCTCAATGGGAGTCTATCACAATATAAGGTAAATATAGTTCAGAGTTGTAATGGCTGCAGTAGTGATAAGTTATATATAATTTTATTTAAGCCAAAATGGGAGAACATAGACACATGTGCTTTTAAAGCAGGAAACAGAAGTGAAAGTCGCTGTTCAAGTTCAACATATCTTTAAGAATTGGCAAGCTAAGAATGAAAATGTGACATGACACCCAGCCCAGACCGGTAACAACTCTATTGGTGCATGTTCTGCAGCTCAAAAGTTGAGTCGCGAATTAGAAGTGTTGCGCAATATGATTAAATGGTTGGATTGTTCCAGAATTGTATGGAATGTGGAGGACAGCGCCATCTACAAGTTCAACTATGGAAATTGTGATTAATAATTCTGATACAGCGCTACTGAAATATGTTTGTCTGTGTCTTCTCCAAGCTCACAATTCAACAACCATGATTAGTCAATCGCTTTCCCCATTGCTTCTCCACTCCGTTTCCTACCGTACTTACCGGACCTTGCACCAACAGATTTCCACTTTTTTCAAAATTTAGACGATTTTTTAAGGAGGAAAAATTCAACACCCAAGAGGCAGTACATTCGCTGACTTCATCGCCGCCCGTTCAGCAGACTTCTACAGTAAAAAGATAAAAAAAAACTATATAATTTGGGCCAGTACTTTGATTAGCTAAAATAAAAAAATAATCAAATTTTTATAATTTAATCATTTCATACAATACTCCTTCTTCATAAGTAAAGGCCTAATATGTAATTCAATAAAAAAAAGTTATATTTCATCAGATAATTTATTTTTGTCGTGGCGACTAACATACGGTGAAACGAAGACACATACTACAGGGCCATCTAACGAAGACAAACCTAACTACGTAGTAACTGCTTATCCTGTATCGCGATATAAACAATTCTCTCACCGATTAGCATACATACAACTTCCCAACATCAATCGTTAGGCCGTGGCATGATCACCTTGCCTGGTCGCAAGATCCTCCTTTTGTTTGGGGGGTCATGACACCCGTTCACAATGTTTTAAAAACAAATCAAACGTTGGAAATAACGTTTTTTAAGTATAATATTTACATAAACTATTTTGTTTGCTTATACAATCTGTTCTTGTTAATAACACAAGTCCTCGTTATTAAGTTCACCAACCAACAATGTCATACCGTTTTGTTGTTTCAAATCTACCCTCAACTTTTAGTGGCTACTAGTTTGAAATATTGAATCAAAGATTTGTATTCTTGGACGTTCGTTACAATACTGCACTCATTATAATCATCTATACCTACATATGAAAATATTAAGTTGGTTTGTGTACGCTTCAGAAACTCAAAAAATTCTGCACCGGCTGAGCTCAAATTTTGACACGACGTAGAAACCGCTTCAAAGATTGTTTTTTACTTTTTTATTGTTTTTTCGCGTCAGTTTTGTTTCTCATTTCTCATCAATACAACTACAATGTACTATATCAAACGTAGCAGGGTACAGCTAGTATTTCATAAATTTTCAAAGTTACTGGCTGGCCGCAGCCTGCGTTACTTTTGAAACGTCGGCATTTTCATCAGCGTCCACCGCTGAGCCAGACGGGCCGTTATTACTTACGTCGAAATTTGTTACTATAATCATACGCATGTAGCGTTTGTATGTGAGTGTGAGATAAACGTTAATAGAAGGTCGTAAATCTAAATAGTTATAATGCTTATAATAGTTATAGCTTCGCAAGGCTGGGACTGGACTTGTGACCGCTACCGTACATAGTACAGGTACATAGAACAGCTCAGACTAGTTTAGAAGTAGTTAACCCAAGTTCAATAGTTTCTTCTCTCCAGTTTAGTTTCGAAACCGAGAGATGATTTTATCGTCTATTCTCTGCAGTGAAGTTTTGCGGCTGTCAGACGGCGGCCAGGTTGCACTGGACTGGGTGGAGAACGGGGCTATAGGCGAGCCCACCGCCGTGCTTTTGGTGCTGCCGGGACTCACGGGCAGCGCCGAGGCGGACTACGTGCGCTGCATCGCGGCCGCGGCGACGGAGCTGGGCGCGCTGTGCGTCGTATTTAACAACCGGGGGCTCGGCGGCCTGCCGCTAACCACTCCGCGCCTGTACTGCGCCGTCAGCCACAGCGATCTGGCCGAAGCGGTACGAGCGGTGCGCGCGGCCAGCCCCGACGTCCCGCTGCTGGCGGCCGGCGTATCCCTCGGTGGCCTCATTCTCGGCCACTACCTAGCCGAGCACGGCGATCGTTCGCTCGTCCACGCAGCCCTCGTCGTGTCTTCTCCGTTGGACGTCGTCAAAGGTGAGGTAAACTTTCGGTAAGACGCATTCGCGTTCGACGGGTCGAGAGGCCTTTCGACTCGATGCTTCGATTCGACGAGTGTGGCCCGTATCCGAATCGGTAACGGTATGATCGACGGCGCAGGTTCGGAGTGCATGGAGCGCGCGCCGCTGAACGCGCTGCTGTCGTACCACATGGCGCGCAACCTGCGCAACACGGTGCGCGCGCTGCGCCACGCGCCCGCCGCGCAGGCGCACGTGGCGCAGCTGCCGCAGGTGCAGTGCGACTGGCTGGGCGTGGAGCGTGCGCGCTCCGTGCGCGAGTTCGACGCCGCCTTCACCACCAAGCACTTCGGCTTCGACTCGGTGTCGGCCTACTACCGCGCCGCGTCGCTGCGCGACAAGCTGGAGCGCGTGCGAGTGCCGCTGCTGTGCCTGTGCGCCGCCGACGATCCCTTCCAGCCGCTCGACGGTGAGATTCGTTTTACATCATTTCTAGAGTGATCGCGGAACATAATAGAGTATACGCTCCGAACGACCGTACGAGTATACCGAGACCGTTCACACGAAATCGAAACGAAGCGGTTCGATCCGTTTCGGTATCTCCGACCGACAGAGACCCGGGGAGGTTCGAAGTCCTTCGTCGTCCACCGTAGAAGGGAGAAAGTGTTTATTCGGAAGCGACAGAGCGAGTTTAAAGAGTTTCTGTGGTTCGCAGCGATCCCGGTGCGCGAGGCGGAGGCGGCGGGCGTGGCGCTGGCCGTGACGGCTCGCGGCGGCCACATCGGGTTCCTGGAGGGCTGGTGGCCCGCGCGCGCCGCGCCCACGCAGTACATCGCGCGCCTCACCTCGCAGTACTTCGCCGCGCTACTGGCGCAGCCCGCGCGCCTGCACCGCCCCCCGGCCCCCGCCCCCGCACCCGCGCAATGCTGACCCCGCCCGGAGCGGCCGCTTCGTGTTCGAGGGCCTTAACGGTCGACAGTGACCCGTCACCCCGCGCGGGTTTAGTATTATTATACACCCACTTACATATGTAGATAGATATATATATACACGTTACGTTCGTCGCTTTCAGATCGTTTATCGGTTATGATCATTAGTTAGGTAAGCGTTATAGCGCCGGTGGTTCGTTGAGCCGCTGACGTGCGAGAGGTCGAGAGTGGGACCGAGCGTGTACTGGAGCGTCGCGCCCTCGACGCCCGCGCGTCTTTATACCACATTTAATATTTATTTTTTATCTCTAAAAAGTGGCAGGAGCGGACCCGCGCTTCAGTACACGCTTATCCCGGGGCTCCCTTTACTGTCCGCGGCGCTCCGAGAGACACGCCTCACAGTAAAGTGAGTCTTGCGTTATTTTTTTATGAATATATGAATAGTTATAAAATGTATGTTTCACACTAATGCACTCGTCGCTACGATGTGTTGACGAGTTTCGCTTACAAAGATGTCCATTCACAATTAACTATAAGGTAGATAATAATAAATTGAACCGAGCCTTGCCTCACGCCCGCACAACTACACATATACGCATATATATATATATAGGGTGTTCCTTATTTTTTAAAGTTTGACATTTTTCTTAACGAAAAACCTCAAGCGGTTCCTAATTCATTAAAAATAATTCCTCTTAATGTGGACATTGCCCGGCCAGGGCTAAACGAGGTGAACGAATAGATGCGTTGGGATCGTTGGGATATTTGGTTCGCACCGTGTGTGTCGCTGACGTAGCTTATCGCTGTAGTTCGGTGTGAGAACCGAAGTATGAAAAGAGGTGAAATGATGTTCGCGCTTTAAGTTTCTCACAACAGTGCGTACGGCTACAAAACATATTTTTGTATAGGAAATTTTACGCTCTATTAAAATTTTCACTTTAAACCTTAACAAATAACAGGAATTATTTTTAGAGAGTTGGTACCGGTTTATGACTACGGTAAAAAAAAAACATTATACACAACATAAGGACCACCCCTTTACTGTGAAACGACAATGCTCTGTTCGAGTTCAAAAGGGAATTAAGCTTGAAATAGCTTTAAATGACTCGCTATTGTCACTTGTTGAGACAGCTTAGATCAAGCTTCTACTTGTACTAAGTTATTGTAACGACATTGTCGATAGTAATATAATGTTAATATGAATAACGCGACAACACCAATTATTTAATTACCAATTATCACCAATTATTCAAATAATTATTTAATCGGCAATTAACCCGGCCAATAGGTATTACCTATAGCTTTTGCCTGCACTGTATTTAATTATGTTTACGGTGATTAACGCGCTCACGCCAGGTATAAGGTAGGTACATACCTGGTCAACAAAATTATATATCCTGAAACGCGATAGTTTGATAGTTAGTACAGCACTGGTTCGTGGTCGGCCACCACAGGTGAGCGGACCACGGCCGCTATGTAACATCTATTGGTCGCGTTTGGTCCCTAATAAATAATTAATTAAAATATCATGGAAGGCGAGGGTTAGCAAACTTGAGTTTGTCGAATCAGCGAACTGAGAGGTCCGGACACATGTTATCACAATGACAGACCAACCCCGGTAAGCAAGGAACGGTTCCGCCTCAGTTCCTAGATCACTCGACAGACGTTACACGTACAAAGAGTATTTATACGATAATATCATTGTGAATCGTTGATATATTTAGATTATATATATTTATAATTATAGTTTACTGAGACGTGGAGACCGCTAGAGACGTGTGGTGTTAATTGTAATGAATACTGTTGTGATCACTCGGTGGTGCACCGTCATTATTTGTTTGGGCCCAGATATCGCTTAGCTCTTTTATTGGTATGAAGTTGTAAGGGTTTAAGACAATAAAAACAATGTCCGGCTTGCAAACAAACTGCACAAATGTTTATTAAAAAGTAGTTCCAATGTTTTAGGACACTTGCTGGGCACCTGGGTAACGTGTTCCTGTGGAGGGACTCATTGTGTATGTTGTATTTACTTGCTACTCGTATTGTTACTATCACTTTCGTGTGTAGTAACGGCCGTTTTCAACAATACATTCATTAGGTTTACGGAAAGTGGTGAGCTCGCACTTCTCTCTTATCTGACTTTTTACAGTCTCAAAAGTGTTCTTCTTGGCTACACGAGCTAAAAGGAAAATTAGTGAACACTTTTATAAGTTGTTTATTTTGGATGAAATCCAAAAAAATAATCCTGGTTATAGCTCGCAGCTAGCGGCCTTCTCACCCAGTGTGGTGACGTATTAGCCAAGAAGTCACATATTCCAATTTCAGTAATAGCAATATTTTTCTCGTTGGTCTTGCACAGACGAGTGTATAACACTTAGCCGTACATGCTTAGGCTTGCAAGCTGTAGCCTCCATTGGAATATCCATTTAATGAAATACTCTGGTACACCAGCACGTGGCAGGTCACGGATAAGGTCGTATACAAGTTGTAGGAAAAGTTAAAGACCGTTGAGGTTAAAGTCACCACAAATAGTGTTTAGCTAGACGACGCACCGCGCGTGCCTTTGGGTGCCGTACGCACGTTACGTTGCGTACGCTGTCCGGTGTTGGCTGTACATATTTGTACTCGTGTTTTATTTCAATAAGTCGGTACACAAATGTGCACGATTCTTGGAGATTATCGCAGGTGTGTGACACTTGCAATTGTACAGTATTGTTATATCTGTGTACTTGTTACTTTAGTTGTTGGGTACGTTTTATTATGTTTTGTTAATCCAGAGCGGCCGATGTCCGACTGGGTGAGCCTATTGTTACGAATCGTACTGATCATGTGTGATTGTTGTTTGACAAGATCGTGTATTATTATCTAAAGCCAGGCCAGGCCTAAAATATTATGTTTTTATTACTAATGACTATGTTACTATGATTTCGTTAAAGTTTTGCAATTTACTATTATATAAGTTTATACGAATCACGAGTGCACGGGATCGGACCTACCGCTGACCTCTATAGTACCACCCGTGTGCTGGGCTACACAATATATTAAATTAAGAGAGTAGCGGTGGGAGGGGGGGGGGGGAGTCTGACTTAGCAGTAATGTTCGTCATGATGTTGACTGTGAACGATTAAACTTCAATAATTGCTTGAATTATAACAAGAATGTGAACACACACAATATTAAATGTCTAGTTAATCATTTGACAACACCGCCGTCACATGTCCGCATTTACTTAGAACAATGACCTACACTTGACATTACGTCGATATAGATGCACGGGTATCTGCGGGTACCCTGACTTTATAGATGAGTCAATTACGTATCTGTGATTTTTAAATCTTATACTTTTATTTAAAAATATAAAAAGTGTACTTTAATTACTTTGTCCTTGTCCATTTTATTCACTGTTGTATGAAGCGCAAACATAGTTTTTATAATTAACAGTTTATAGTTTATCTATTGTTTATTCATTCTTGTGCAAACAACTAGCAAATATATCACATTTGTTTAGGGACCATCTGTCTTATATACACTTGATACAGGTATCACAATGGGTAAGCGCTCGTTAATAGCTTTTGTTCTAATTACAGACTATATTAGGAGAAAAGATTAGTTACTCAAACCATTCCAATTGGTCTAGCTCACTGTAGCACGTAGATATACAACGTAAGTAATGACAATAGTCAATTTCCATAGATAAGATAGTGCTGTTTGATTCGGAGTTTGGGTGTGTTCTACGTATAATATGTATGTATTTACAAAAAAAATAGGTATATAAGTATTCTATCAGTCAATCTAACGTAGTATAAGCTCTGCTTAGTTTGAAACTAGATGGTTGTGTGTCAGATGTCCGAAATATTAACACAAAAAAGTACCAGGGCAAACATTTTGACATATTTTTCCAAAGCCCTTTTATGCGTACATAAACAACAACATTAGATATACACGGTCATATGAGGTTATCTATTGGAAATTACTAGAATGTACTATTATTTGACAAACGCTGCTGGATCAACGCACACGTTACGTTTTGTATCATGTACATTGTAAGGTGAAAACGCGTGTACAACGTGTAACTTAAATGCGATATTCACTCGTGGTGATTTACACACACTCGCATATACAAAAGATTAACACACTTTATTACACTCGCCCAAGTTTACAGTCGACATGAAACTGAGACTCTCAGCATCAAATCGTTGCATATGTATTTTTGTTTGAAACTTTGTTTGTTTTATATTTTGTGGCATCGTTGACAGGCTATAGAGGTCGGTGGAGCCGGCTCGTAAAAGTATTTGAAGTTGGCAAACGGGTAATAACAGTGAAGAGCTGTGGACTCGAACGTTATCATATCATAACTCCAACGTCCATGGTGATGGATAGCGGATATATCGACGTGCAAGCCAGTATCGTTACTGCTGCACGTCACAAACGGGTACTGCGCGTACCACTGGTTACCTACAGGTCTGTGATGTATTATTATTATTGTTTCATAGTTCTATTTATAGTTACGGATAGTCCCTATCGCTTACGAATACAAAGAGAGGTGATTCGTTCAACGTTTTATTGCTATATACATAACTTATCGCTACTCGTAATAGGAAAAGCCGTTTTTTATAAATTATATAAATATACATGATCGACTCGATGTTTTATTTTTAATATCCCGTAATGATCGACGATAACGCACCGGAACGTCGGCGTGAAAGACTCGAGTGCGTCGCGGCGGAGGAGGGAGTCAGGCCGTGTCGGGGTCCAGGCCGAGAGCGCGGCAGAAGGCCGTGACCAGGTCCTCGGCGCGCTGCAGGCGCTCGGGGCGGGGCAGGGCGGGGTGCGCGGGGTGCGCGGGGGGCGAGGCGGCGGAGAGCGCGCCCAGCGCCGCGGCGAAGGCCTCGGCGCGCTCCACGGCGCGAACCTCCTCGTCCGAGGCGCAACCCTCCCACGCCAGCTCCGACTCTGACGAGGCTCCCGATTCGTTTTCACCGTCTGTCCCTGCACAATGACATGAGTGATTTCAATATTCCGTTTTATAAAATCGGTCCTCTTTATAGTCCGTAATCCATAATGATATTGAAACGTAATTAAAAATTTTAAGATAAACACGAAAGCATTTATTTTATTTACATCGTCCCCATTTCATACTAAATATTAGATGCATTGGTATTTTTTTTCGTATTCAACTTTTCACTTATAAATAAATTTTCAGTATTAAAAGAACATGAGGATCAGGTATTTTATAAAACACCGTGTAATCTGTTCTGGAAGTTGGATTTCCATAAGCATTCTAATAAACAGACCACAACACAGGACTGAATACAAACCGTTAAGTGGAGGGAGTGAAGCGGAGAAGCGAGCTTCCTTGCGCTGCAGGTTGGACCAGGCGTGTGCGTGCAGAGTAGCACGGGCACGCTCTAATCCATACGCATCAGCGAAAGGCTCGTCTGCCTGTCCTTGAGCCTCTTCCAGTCGCGGGACGAAGTCAGCGTGCTGCGCTACCGCCCATGCCTCGAGTGGCTCATGGTCAATGCAATCTGCCAGCAGCACACGCACGTGGCATTGTTCCCATGCATCGCAGCACGCGCCTGCGCGACGTGCGGCGCGCTCTGTGCACTCTTCTGATACCTGAAACAGGCTTTCTATATATATCAGATTTTACCATAAGTTTAAATTAACTGAAAACAGTTACATAATTTGTACTGTTTTATCAATATTGTGTATTTTTATTGTCATTATTCTTAGACTGTTAACTCATCCTTCTTGAGCTTCAAGAACATAAATTGCAATATTATAATTTCATGTTCTACACAGAAACAAATATATACACAATACCTCATCCTCAGTGATGTAAATGATATGGGCTTCCACAGAGTTGGGATTTATGGCGAGCACTTCCCCGTCTGTAAGGATATGAACTCTGACATCTGCACTGTAGTACTTGTTGTCTAGCCTCCACACACGATCCGGAGACTCAATTTCTTTACGATATTCTTCCGTAACGTCATTGTCTATCAGTTCTGATATCAGAGAAGTTAATTATGCACTTTTACGCTTTTAATAATATAGTAAGTATGAATACTATGTAAGCATACTTTGTCTTAAACTTAATATCATGAATACAACAACAAACTGCAATCATTGCTTCCCTTTACTAACCTAATATTAGAGTTGTAGCTACTGTTTCATTTACAGTGCTTACTAGCAATACTGGCAGAGTATCAATCGTCGACATATTACAATATTATGAAGTGTGCTTAATTCGCTTTTGAAGTTAAAACACGGTTGATACAATTGGTTGCTTTTGCTTTTCATAACAAAAACTTTGACATAATTGACATGACACTGACACTAATGAAAACTAGCTATCAACAGCGTCAAAGTATTACTCTATGGTCAACCCGTAGAATAAGTATATTTATCATCATAGGAAAGGAACGAAGATGACACATTACTAGTATTAGACCCCTCCATGTCCTATGTTTTAGAAGTAGGTTCTTGTCAGTAGCATATTTTTTGCAAAAAGCCTTTGTATGTGCATGTTGTATGTAGGCTCATTATTTTTCTTAAGAGTTGTGCTTTGAAGTTGTGTTTAAGACTAATCTACTTTTTTAAAAGGGGCCTTACAAAATGAGTTGCAAAAAAGTGCTTATTTTTAAAATGGAATAACAGGGCCAGTTTTAATGCATAATTTTGCTTTCCATTTTAAAAATAAGCACTGTTTTAATTATTGAATTGTATTTTAATTATTTTCAAAATTTTGTTACCTATTTGGGGTTAGGATTAAACATATTTTTATTCGGTTTCGTGAAGCAGAGTTCTTAGAGCGTAAATGTATATAGTATCAGAACTTTTATTCTTGGAAACTTCTGTTTTATGGATTCGTGCTATCAAAAGTATGAGAAGAAGGGGTAGATTTAAGGGCTGTTAGGAACTGCATCTATTAAGTCTTCTGCACTCATTATTATGATAAAATATTTATTTTATTTTATCGCAAGGTGTACAATTCTTATTGAGTAAATTTGAATTTAAATCTTTTAAACAAAGCAATATAACCAATTTATCTTAAGATCTTAAGAACTTATTATTGGATCATTTTCAATCTAGACGTCTTAAGCAGCGTCCACACTATGCCGGGCGAGGCCGAGCGGGCTGACCCGGGCGGCCTAAGCCGGGTTGGTGTGGACGCCCCGGGCGGCTTAAAAAGCCGGCCCGAGCCGAGCCGATCCCAACCCGCAGAAAGTAGGTACAGATCAAAGGATGCCGGCCCAAGCCGAACGAAAATATGTAGTGGGGACGTCCCGAGCGGCACCGGGCGGCTTTAGTTGTCCAGTTTTGGTGTCGAATTGAAACTAATAGGTAGATATAACCCGGGCGGCCTCGTTTTCGGTGTGGACGTCGTGCCGGCCCGAACGAACCCGCCCGGCTTAGGCCGCCCGGGTCAGCCCGCCCGGCCTCGCCCGGCATACTCCGGCATAGTGTGGACGCTGCTTTAAAGTGTTTAATAATACTTATAATTCATCTGACATCCAACTGTCAACAAAAACGCATAATCAGAATTAAAAGGATGTGAGTAAAGTAATTAAAAAATCTTTGTAGGCAAAATGGCTTGTGTTCAAGTGTAGTGTATGGGAAGATATATTGGCAAAACCTGTGATATGCCATTACATGGGTATCAATGGTCAAATCTGTGGTACTGTTACACATGGACACCTGCAACTCAAAAGTCACAAGTGCGTTGTTGTCCTTGAGGACTCCGGTAACCTCTTCGATTGGATGGACAAAAATCAGCATTTTAAATCAATGCAATATTTGTTAATTTTGCTAGGTGGTAACACACATAAACAGAACGTCACTTCTGTCATTAACCGTTTTGGAGTAGATAAATAAATAAATATTTATTTCCATTGCAGATCATATTAGAAAAGCCTATAGGGAATGTATTGGACAGTTTTTATCGGAAAATAAGGAGTGGGTTCAGCAATATGGATAATATAAAATCGTGGACGGCTGAAGACGAGGCCATCATCGCAACGAACACGGATGCAACCGAGTGCAAGCGGTGCGCAGTGGAGCTGGGTTACTGGAAGGATGACTATATCTCGTTGTTCATACGCCACGCCGATCGTAAGGCGCCAGAGATCAACCGCGGCTACTATGCACGCGTGAGGGCCATGGAGATGTTCATTCACCAGTTCCTGGAGGTTAACTCTAGTCTTTTATCCCAAATATATCTGCCGAGTTTTTTCACGACTGATTATTTTAAATTTTAGAAATAATTTTATTATAGCTCTATTTTACCCAGAGATTTAATGCCGCAAATACAGATCTCTTATGTTATGTATATAAATTTTAGTTACCATCATCATCAACAGCCTTTAATAGTCCACTGCTGGACATAGGCCCCCCTTAGAAAGGAGGTTTTGGCCTACTATACCACGCTTGCCAGACGGATTGGTATAGGGTTTGTGTCAAGTTTTCCTTCACTATGCAGTACTGTTGTCTAGTTTGCTCCCTTAGTCGGCTCTTACGACACCCACGGGATGAATAGGGGTGGTGATACTGTATTCTTAATCTGCCACCACACGGAATTTTGGTTAACTGTTAGCAAATCATTGAATCTATAAATCACATTTATTTAGAAGAATAAAGTTCTTAATTTTCAAAATGGAATTCCAAGTAGTTTGCAGGTTTAGCAGTGCATGAGGGGTGAAGTTCTTGGGCTTAACTTGACACAGTTATCGTTAATATTTCCTTTGTAAATTTATATAATTATAATGTAAATGTATTATTATTTACTTCATTATCACCATCATCAATAGCCTATAACAGTCCACTGCTGGACATAGGCCTCTCCTTAAAAAGGAGTTTATTATTTATTTAGGTTTTTTTTATTATAATAAGTTTTTATCATTTAATAATTTATTTATATTACATTACAATAAATTGAATTACTATCAATTGCTAGGGTATTATCAGTAAGGTATTCTTGTAGGGTGTAAAGAGTTTAAAACCTTCTCTACAACAAACACGTCATACATGTGATACACTAACAGTAAAACACATACACAGTACAGTAAAACTTTTTCTGGTACTAATAAGACACATTTTTTTTTCTGCAACTACAGCTACAAACATTTTGTGGTTGTGTGTTTTTTACCCCGGTTTTTTTTTAAATACCCCCATATTTTGTTTGCAGTAACTGTGTTAGTTCAGTTTCTGTAACCATATGAGTAGGACCTCAGTTTGAGTATCTGCAAACATGTAATGAGAATTTTTGTGTAGGCTAAATAAGGATAATATGTAGGATAACGATAGACTGAATTTTTGTATGACTTAGTAAAAACATATTTATACTATTTGTAGAGATGTGGTACAAAGTGTCAGATCATCAACCTGGGCTGTGGCTACGACACTCTGTACTGGCGCCTCAAGGACACTACACAAGCAGTCGGCAACTTTATTGAATTAGATTTTCCTTCAGTTACATCCAAAAAGTGTCACATTATCAAGAGGAATAAAAAGCTGCTACAAAAAATAACGAATGAAGGTATCATTGTTTTCATTTGCTGCCTTTACATTGGACCTCAATTAACTTGTGACCAAAGTGTTGTCTGTCAACTTGCCTTGTGGTAACTCATGACGAAGACGAAGTTTCATATATACAGGCCTATTGCAGTAATAATTAATTGACTCTTAAACATTACACGGTTAATTTTGCTTGAAATATACACGAAGACAGTTCAGCACAGACTGCACTATGGCGTAGCGGTTTAAGCAGTCGCCATGCAGTGTTGTGGGTTCGATCCCCACATGGGACACCACTTTGTAAGATCCACAATTATTGTTCTGAGTCTGGGAGTTCTTAGCGTCTGTTTCATGTATGTTTGTAAAATCTCCCTATAACTTTTTACAGACCAAAGAGAATGCGACAGTTTTTTATTGTTCAGTCGGTAGTTCGATAAATTCGATATATCGAGTTTAACGTTATCGTTGAACCGTGACACAGACGGGGAGGTGATGATCCGCGAGGGGGACCTGCACTCGGACGGGTACCACCTGCTGGGCTGCGACCTGCGCTGCCTGGCCGAGGTGCGGCGCAAGCTGGGCGCGGCGGGCGCGGACGCGCGCGTGCCCGCGCTGGTGCTGGCCGAGTGCGTGCTCGTGTACCTGCGCCCCGACGCGGCCGACGCGCTGCTGCGCCACCTGGCCGACACGTTCCCGCGCCTGGCGCTGGTGCAGTACGAGCAGTGCAACCTGGGCGACAAGTTCGGCGAGGTCATGGTGCGCAACCTGGCGGCGCGCGGCTGCGTGCTGGTGGGCGAGCGCCTGTGCCGCGAGCCCGCCGCGCAGGCCGAGAGCCTGCTGGCGCTGGGCTTCCAGCACGCGCGCGCCTGGGACATGGAGGCCGTGTGGCGCGCGCTGCCCGAAGACGACCGCGCGCGCGTCGAGGCGCTGGAGATGCTGGACGAGCGGGAGCTGCTGCTGCAGCTCAACTCGCACTACGCGCTCACCGTGGCCTCGCGCGGGGACATGTTCGCCGACATGGACCTCAACGCGTAGGCGCCGGCCCCGCCCGACCGCCCGCCCATCATTTCACGTATCACATTTTGTTGTTTATGGAAATTCGATTTCCCATCTCAGTCGGACGTCGCTCGGCGCAGGCGGCCCTGACGAGCTCGATGTAATTACCGCGGTGACATCTTCAGTGCCGACGGTAACCACGTAACGTGTACTACGTGTGTAAACTTGTCTCGAGTAACCTTTAGATATACATAAATGTCTATACGTATATAAAGTGTTTATGGCGATTTCTTTTCGGTCTCTTCCTTATTGTTATAAATCGTTCCGATGACTCATGATTATGTCGATGGAGTATTAAATTATTGTGTGGTCGTCGTTTTTAGATAATTGCCAGTCAACGTTCAATATTGTAAACTGTTAATGTCTGTGCAAGTACGCGGCGGCCTGTCCCTCCACACGTGCGGAGCGCCGCGTGTCACTCTTGTACGAGTGAACTAACACGCGCGTGTTGGATGTATTTTTGATTTACGTTACGTTAGCGTTCTGTGATAACGGGACTGCTCATATATTTATGTTACACGTTTTAAATTAGTTTTATTAAATGGTTTCAAAAATATCTCGTTTAGGACTATCCTGTGGTGTAAGTGTAATACTTACTCAACTTAAATATATCCGCTATGAGTAAATCTGATGTAGGGTGTGCATAATTGGTGCAGCCTAGATGTTGTCAAACCGCAAACAAACAACTACCGGCGACTGGCTTCTTCAATGGCTCTTGCATCTCTAAGGTGTCCAGGTGATGGCCATTGAAATATTGTTGGCCATGTGCCCACTCTTGATTTTTCGTAATAACATGCGTTGCGGACCCGTGATACCACCCAATGACACCACCGGTAGTGTCAAGGGTATTTTTAATCCCCATGACACCACCGGTATTTTCAAAATAAAAGTGAAAATTTTCTTTCCTCCGAATGAGACTGCTGACTTTTATTATATTTAATAATTAAATAAATATCTTAATCTATATTTATTTCTGTTAGTTACTCGGTGGTGTCATTATATAAAAGAATAATAACTTTGACAATACCGGTGGTGTCATGGGGATTAAAAAATACCCTTGACACTACCGGTGGTGTCATTGGGTGGTATCACGGGTCCGTAACTATAACATGTAAGGTCTGAAATATTGATTAATTTAAAATACATTTGATTGTGGTGTTGGTGATGTAAGTACTACGCCTGCACTAGAGAGACATCCATGTTTTATATCAGGTTATTGTTCTCTCTCGTACGTGAACATATCAACAATACTCTTGGTGTAAGGGTCGATATTGAGTTCGTTGTTACTAAATAGATAGTTTGGGATTACTCGCCGATGTGTCTATAATTAAATAGCTTTTGTCATTTAACGTTTGTATGTGGTTACTTACAATTTCATTATAGATGTAATGTTGATATACGTAGGTGTCGATGTCGTGTCGCAGTCCCGCGCAGCGCCACCTACCGGCGACTGCTATCAGTTTATAAACAGTACTGGATTGTAGCAACAACTCGCAATGTGTTGTTTCTCTCAAGTACTTACTATACTTAGTGCTGTATGCATAAGTAGATCCACTTTTATTATATTTGAGACATTACTGAAATACATTTGAGTGTTATGATTTATGGTAATTCTATTAATCAATAAATGTCCTTAGCCTAAACTTATAAACGTATGTATTGAGACACAAATACAATCGCTGCAAGAGCGGTACTTATATATATATATATTGTTAAGGAGTGTCACAGCGTTCCTCAACCAGTTACAGTGAATCTTTTCAAAGAATAATATCTGAAGCGTAGACATACGGTACAATAATTGTTATCCATCCACTTCCCAGTGTGACAGTGAAGTGACATATAAATCAACATTTGACTTGTTGCATAAACGAACATCTCTCCACAACTCATAGAAGTAAACCTGGTCTAAAGTTTCATACTACATACATACATAGAAACACGTGTGACATACCCCGTGTTTTTGCCTCAAACTCGATTGTTTTTTCATATGAAACTATTTGTTCTATGCGTTATAACTTCAATAATAACACAATTGAACCGGTGTTATCAAATTCTTACATTTTCAAGCAGAATATGTTAACGTAGAATACGATTGTGACACCCGGGCAATCGCTACAAAATACTTCTTTTTGTTTCCATTCTCCCGCACTTCTGTCTTTGAATAATACATATACGACATGTTGAACAATACGCGGGACGTGTTTCACCCCTCCACCATGATGTGTACGTCATCAACGCCTAGCGATATATTCATCCGATTGACTAGTCGGTTTTTATTATTGTAATGAAGTAAGAGTTGAATATTTATTTATGCTATAAATATTGTATAATGCACATTATTGTTTTATTTATGACAACCTTTTGTAATATGTTCCCTATATTAGTTTTGAGCGGACCGCAGTGGTACATATTCATCTTATATTATTTATATATATAGGATGTTCAGCGGCAGATTCAAACTTTCAAATTTTATTTAAAAATAACTAGTGTTTTTTTAACATATTTTTAATGAATATATAAGATAGTAAATGCGGCTTTTATTTTTTGAAAACAACGTTTTCTAAATGTCGACCTTTGAGCGGCACACACTCTTCGAGTCTAGCACCTGTGAAATGTTGCCGATATCAGACATTTTCATTTAATTCTGTCACAGTGCCTGGATTTGATTTGTATACGACAGATTTTAGATATCCCCATATAAAAATAGTCGTATGCGGATTTTATACAAATCTCCAATTTCATGGCCTAGTAAATAAATGCTACATTCACATTCATTCACACATGCTACAATGCAACATGACGCTGTCATCTTAGACTAGGTTCTATGTGAGTAACCGCAGCTTCAAACAATCGTAGTATGTCACCAGGAGAGCCCGGAACATTTTCAAATGGATTAAATTTCAAGACTATTCTTTCGATAAACATCGAGCATAGCACCCACAGTTACCCACATACTGAATAAGTAATTAACTGGATAGGCAACGCGTCACAGCGAATTTTGGGTCAATTTCAATAAAATGCGTTTTTAGTGTTTCGTACACTTTTGTGATCGACGAAACGAGTGAGTACGGTGAAGGAACCCACAATATGGCGTTCTGTACAAACAAGATACACATTGCGAAATGTGCTACGCAATCGGTATGATAAGCTGCCGTACACATTTGATTAGTATACCTAGTTGTATTTAATAACTTAGTACAGTAAATGCCGTCAACCTTACACGTAGTCTCAATATACTCATAGCAACAAGCATTTTGTCACTAAATGCAGAGAAACATCATTTTTTTGTGAAGTTGTGTGGTGGTGTGTAACTAAAGTAGGGAATTGGTTGGCTGGCCTCCCACAAGCGGGTCTCACCAGTTCAATTGATAAGGCGCATAATACTTTCGTGAGACTACGAGCACACACGAAACAATTCGGATCGGGACGAAATAGCAGCAAAAAATTCTTCATCAAGCAAGAAAGGTGCCGTTAAACAACAAGAGCTAGATAGCAAAATATCGAGGCACAGTGACGGGAGTAGTCACTCTGGTTCACAAAACCAGCATTTAACAAGCACAGGTACCAGGGAAAATATCAAGACTTACAACATCAGCAGCAAGTGAACTTCAGAGCTCTCACCAGAACAATGGAAAACATATTTGTGGACGACATTGTAGAAAAGTGGGAGTTTGAAGATGCTATAAAGTCTCTTCAGTCTCGATGGCATACCATTGATAAACTCCATTGGGAAATAAAAAATCAAACTCAAGCTACGACGCACTTTTTGTCAAGTTTAAAAGCGTTACATAGAGTTAAAGATATCAATCAACAAAAAAATGTGGACAACATCGTATAGAGAAAAATCTACACCCAAAGTAGACATTCCAACATTTGCGGGAAATTACAACCAATCGATGTCATTTATGGATTTATTTCATGAAGCTATACGTAACAACCCCTCACTATCGAATGCACAAAAAATGCAATTTCTTAAAGGGAAACTGCGAGTTGAAGCCGAGAGAATCATACGGCATTTGCCGACCAGTACAAGCAATTATGAAGTTTGCTGGGAGATTCTCATTAACAGATAGGTACCATCATAAAAAAATAATCTTCACTTCTTACATGTCATTGTTACTATGAATTCTAACCATGTCAACTGTATCAGCTTCCCAAATCAAAAAACTGAATGATGTAACTCAAGAATGCCTAACCGCCATCAAGAACCATCTAGATTCTTGATGGCGTTTACACGTAGACATCAGAAATTGTGACCGACTCGTGGTTCACTTACTATCACTGAAGCTTAATACTGAAACTTTCACAGTTACCAGTCCTGAAAGAATTTCTTCAGTATCAAGAAAACAAGTTCACTGCATTAGTCTTCACTCCGCAAGCAAGAAGTCGGCAATACGAAGAACCGATACCAGTGGGACAGCCAACAAGGTACAACATTTAACAAGAATCAAACAGTAGGAGGCGAAGTATCACAAATCTAATTAGCTCAAACCATCATTTCCAAAATATATAGATCGGATCTCCATCTCTAACCAAGCTTTTATCTAAGTATGTCAAATACTGCAAAAGTATTGAAAAATTAAACTTGTGTAAAAAATATTTATATTCGCTCAACAGTAATGCATGCATATCGCAAAAACGATGCCGCGTGTGCCAAGGCGACCATAATACCATATTGCATGAAGCATATTCAACAAATACTATGGGCAACCTCACAGATAAGTATAGCGGTAGCTCCGGAAACGCGCACGTGGCACGGAGGCCGGACATATACGAGGTTCTACTCGCTATAGCCTTAATCAGAGTACAAACTGCGGATGGGACTTACCAAATCATGCGAGCTCTTATCGACCAGGGGTCTCAAACATGCCTTATCACCGAGAGGGGAGCACAATCTTTATGTCTAACTCGCCAAAAGTGGAAAGGAGTTATCACTGGAGTAGGAGAGAAAGAGAGTCAGTGTAAAGGGTCTCTTACAC